TCGTTATCCGGGCCTTTCGCGATGGGTTGAATTTTGCTACTTCAATACAGCTAGATTTTATTAGGGGGATCACATCTTATGGTCGTCTTAGGGGGTGCAGCAGCGTGATCCCCTTGGTACCCTGCTTTTTGCTTTGGTTTTGCAGCCCCCGGTGTGTAAAATTAGAGACACTTTTAATGTATGTCTTCAGGCTTGGTATTTGGATGATGGTACTGTTATTAGTGACACGTTGGTGGTGGGAAAGGTTCTGCAGTTGATTATGGAGGAAGGGCCTCGTTTAGGGTTACATCTTAATGTGGAAAAAACTAGTTTTTTGGCCTACAGAAGACCCTCGAAGCAGGCTTGTGGGTGTCTTTCCACCTAACATTGCTCGACCCTTGCGTGGTGTTAAGTTGCTTGGTGGTCTCGCTAGTTCCGATTCCAATTTTGGAGGAGAACTTGTGATGCAGAGGGTGACCAGACCATTGCGCTTATGGATAGGGTTGTTAAGCTTGATGATCTTCAGTGCGAGCTGTTGTTGCTTAGGGCTTGTACCGGAGTTTCTAAGCTCTACTTTGCATTGCGTACTTGTCCTCCTATTATTTTTGAGATAGCTCAGCGCACATTCGATGGGGCTTTTAGATCTTCCTTGGAGCGTATTGCTACTGCTTCGGGCCTGGGTTTGGCAATTGGCAGTGGCGGCTTGCCACCTTGCCTTTTGCGTATGGCGGGCTTGGTGTTTATTCCACATGTGATGTTCGTCATTATGCTTTCTTGCTTCCCGGTTACAGTCTGCTGGGTTGCAGACACGGCTTCTACGGCATGCTGGCGTTGTTGGCCTTGGTCAAGCCTTTGAGGATGCGTTGAGCTTGTTCAATAGAACGGTGGAGTCTGACTTTATGTGTAATCCTAGTGAGGTCACTGCCCTAAACTTATGAAGAAACTGACAGATATATATTTCACAAAGGTTACCGCTTCTGCAGAATCCACCTTTTCTTTGTCTCCTCGGCAATCGACATTGTGGAAATCGCAGCAAGGAGATCACTCCTCCTCTTGGCTTCGGGCGGTCCCTATTTCAGGGTTAGGTCAGACGATGAACGCAAAGACCTACCGATGTGTGTTGTGCTACCGGATGGGTGTTCCATTGTTCTCTATCTCGGCGCCGTGGTCTGCTTGTTCTCAGGTTTTTACAGGGGATATTTTCGGTGATCACGCGGTATCGTGTGTTGGTATTGTGAGTATTAAACATCGGCATAATGTTGTTCGGGATACCCTTGTTGATATTTGCTACAGGTCTGGGATTTCGGCAAGAAAGGAGGTTGACATAGGGTTGTTTGGAGGAAATGACGAGCCCCTTAGACCTGCAGATGTGTTACTTTATTCTTGGGATCGTGGTCGCGATGTATGTGTGGACTTAACAGGGTCTTCTTCTTTGACACATACAGGGCTATCTGATTTTGTTCCTGGACGGGTTGTGGTTGATGCGACTCATCGAAAGCGAATGAAGTATGAAGGTAGTTGTCGGCTGATTGGATATGGTTTCATTCCCTTCTCCTTTTCTTCGCTTGGGAAATTAGAGAAGGAGGCTATTGCGTTGCTGAAGCGGGTTCAGAAGTTCTCGGCGACGCAAGACATTGGGGCTCGTGCTGCAGCTCATATCTTCACTAGGGTAGGCTTTGGAATAGCCAGAGGAGTGGGGGCCCAGATTGTATCTGGCTTCCCACTAATTTGTTGTAGGTTGTATGACTTTATCTGTTTTTAAAATGATAATAATAAAAATAATAATAATAATTCAAACTTACTTTTTTTTTTTACGGGACAATTCAAACTTACTTTGCTTTAATTTAATTAGCTGATGTCAAAATCATCCACAAAATTTACCACCCACTATTAAAAAGAATAAATTTGGGGTCTTCATTTTTGTCTTCATTAGTAGAACAACTGATTAACAAGGCGTAAACAAGAGTGAAACAACAATTAAGCATGTTGAGGAGTTTAGCAATTGCAGAATATCATTACTATCAATGCAAAATATTACAACTGAAGCCGAAGATTAATAATTTGGGACTTTTGAATGGTTTTTGTATGAGGGTATTTGTAGAAATATTAATTACCAATAAACTTTGGCTTGGCTTTTCATTAATCACAATCAAACTATTTATAATACAATCACGAGATTCTTAATCTATCTCAAACTCTAGGAAAGACTAGTTTAACTAGGAATATAATTCCTAATATTATCCAAATACCTAAATATTATTTTAATATCCTAATATTATCTTAATACCCCCCTCAAGTTGGAGCATGACAGTCAAAAATGCCCAACTTGGAAAGAAGATTATCAAACTGTGCTTTCCCGAGCGGTTTTGTGAAGATATCTGCCAATTGAGAAGTAGTTGTCACATATTGTGGAGAAATTAAACCCTCGGTTATTGCATCTCGAACAAAATGACAGTCGACTTCTATGTGTTTAGTTCGCTCATGAAAAATTGGGTTCTTTGCAATATGCAAAGTTGATTGACTGTCACAAAAAAGCTTAATAGCCTTAGGATGTTGCACTCCTAGACTCAATAATAATGCCTTAAGCCACTTTAACTCACAAGTGACCCCTGACATGGACCTGTACTCTGCCTCTGCAGAGGATTTAGAAACTGTATCCTGCTTTTTTGTTTTCCAAGAAATCGGCAATTTGCCCAAAAATACTAACCAACCTGTGGAGAGCGACGAGTGAGGGGACAAGCCGCCCAATCCGAATCACACCAACCTTCCAATGTAAGGTCGCTATCCGATCGAAGTATATGCCTTGACCGGGAGTCCCCTTCAAGTAACGAACTACCCGCAAAGCTGCTTCCCAATGCTCTGCGCGCGGTGCTTGCATGAACTGAGATAAAATGTGTACCGAATAAGCTAGATTCGGCCTAGTCACTGCAAGGTAGATGAGGCGCCCAACTAGGCGCCGATATGGCTCGGGATCCGGCATCAACTCGCCAGTTGCAAGGGTGAGCTTATGATTCTGCTCGACGGGAAACCCACTAGGTTTTGCACCTAGTAAACCTGCTTCAGAAATAATATCTAGAGTATATTTTCGTTGACATAAAAATAACCCTAAGGAACTACGAGCAACCTCTATCCCTAGAAAATATTTAAGAGTTCCTAGATCTTTCATCTTAAACAATCACTAAGATAGGCCTTGAAAACCTTTAGTGCAGCGGAATCATTCCCATAAATGATAAGATCATCCACATAAACCAAGACATTTATTTGAGGATTGCCGTTAGTATATGTGAACAAAGAATAATCAGAGTAAGATTGCAAGAAACCATACTTTTTCAAGGCCGATACTAATTTTGCAAACCAACACCGAGGAGCTTGCTTTAGGCCATACAGGGACTTGCGCAACCAACACACCATAGTGGGATCCGAACATTCGAACCCGGGAGGTAATTTCATGTATACTTCTTCATTTAAGTCTCCATGTAGAAAGGCATTATGAACATCCATTTGATGCAACTCCCAATTTTTGCAAGCTGCTATGGCAAGAAAGGCACGAATCGTAGTCATTTTTGCGACTGGAGCAAAAGTCTCTTCGTAGTCAATTCCAGCTTGCTGATGATTGCCAAACACCACTTCTTGATTTTAGACGCTCGACATCACCATTGGATAAATATTTGGTCTTATAGACCCATTGGCTGCCAAGAGCACGTTTCCCAGGTGGAAGATGCTCTAGGGTCCATGTGCCATTGTCCTCTAAAGCACGAATTTCTTCTTGCATTGATTTGCGCCATCCATCAAAGCGCATTGCTTCTCTAAAGGATTTGGGGTCTTTACCCTTAACAATTGCTACAAGAAACTTCTGATAATTTACAGAAAAATTGTCACAATTTATATAATGTGCTAGGGGATACGGAGTACCTGAGGAGTGATTGGAAGGAATAGAATTTGGACTTTTAGCAAAAACCGTATGTGTCACATAATCTCGATGCTAGCTTGACATTGGGAATTTTCTGTCTAAAACCTCGACCCAACTGCTGATCATGAGGCCCATGCTCAATGCTAGTCGTTTTGGGCTGAATCATGGAGTGTTGCACGGAACTGGGCTCCGCATTAACTAGCGTGCTGGGCTCTGCAACAGCTAAGGGAGTGGGCTGAAGAACTCCTCCTTGCGCTGAACTGGGCCTAGGAGAAATAGGAAGCCCTGATGCTTCAACCGGATCTTGGCTTGAAGGAGGAATTGGGCTAGCAGAATAGGTAGGTGATGGACTCGGTGTATGCGAAGGACTGGGCTGCGAGACTTCATGAGGCCCAGCAGTAGGCGATTCTGGGCTGAGCGAAGAATTATCAGCTTCGTCTTGATAAATTTGAGCAAAATCCTCATGAACTTCTTGATCCACATAATCTTGATTAATATTTGCAACTTCTGGGCTGCCAAACGGAAACACCTCCTCAACAAATTTCACATCCCTTGAAACAAAAAATTCTTTTGTATTCAAATCAAATACTCTCCACCCCTTTTTGCCAAACGGATATCCCACAAATACACAATTTCTACTTCGACTAGCAAATTTATATCCTTTAGTTTTCTGATTATGGGCAACGCATAAACCAAAGGTTCGAAGGGCGTCAAATGAGGGAGATTTGTCAAAAAGAATTTCAAAAGGGGTTTTATTATCTAAAAGTGGAGAAGGAGTGCGATTAATTAAGTGAGCGGCGGTGAGAACACACTCCCCCCAAAAATAAATAGGTAATTTAGCCTGAAACCTCAAAGCCCGTCCTACATTCAAGATGTGTTTATGCTTTCTTTCAACACGACCATTTTGTTGAGGAGTACCGACACATGATGTTTGGAATAAAATTCCGGTGGCGCTAAAGTGATCAAGCTAGCAATTAAACTTCGTCCCGTTGTCACTTTGGACTACTTTAATTGTTTGGGAAAATTGTCGATCAACCATAGCGACAAAGGACATAAACATTCGAAAAACCTCCATTTTATCTACTAATAAATAAATAAATCCATACTGCTCTTGAGAAATCATCAACTATAGTTAAAAAATAGCGAGTTCCACATGATGAAGTATGTCGATATGGACCCCACAAATCACAATGAACTTTCTCAAATATTCTAGAGGCTTTATTGTCACTCAAAGGAAATTTGGCTCTCGGATGTTTAGCATACATACATACTTCACAGCCGATATCTAAATGAAATTTGTTACCACAAACATGAGGAAGTAACTTAACTATTTTTTCAGACGGATGACCAAGACGTCGATGCCATAGTTCTAAATTTGATGTAGCTTCTATGCGTGACACAAAAGTCGGTTTGCTAAAATAGTATAGTCCATCTCTCCCGATTCCCGTTCCAATCAGCTCCTTCATTTGATCCTGTATAGCACAACTATTAGAATCGAATTGGACAATGGTTTGTAAATCATCATTAAGTTGAGAGACAGAAAGTAAATTGCAATTCAAGTTTGGGACATAGAGAACTCCAGTGAGAGTTATGTGTTTGGACAGATAAACAGAACCCATCAAAATGGCTTCCACCTTTGTACCATTCGGTAACCCAATCGGACAATCGAATTTTTGGGTGTCAAATAACCAAGAACTATTTTCAGTAACGTGATGAGTGGCTCTAGTGTCGATGATCCAAAAAGAGGTATTGAATTTACCGGTGACGCGATTTTGTGGGATTTGAGAATTACCAATGAGGCCCATGATGGCCTTCCATTGTTCTTGGGTAAAGAGATTTCCCAATGTTGAAATGGATGAACTAGGCGGACTGACAGCCATATATGCACGTCTTGGGCCTTGCTTCTTGCTTTTGTTGTTGGGCCTCCCCACAATATCAAAACAATGGGACTGTGGGTGCGCTTTCATGTTGCAGGTCGAACAGATGGTGTCCGCCCAGAAGCTTGCTGCATCATGTCCCGGATGGCGGTACCTGGAGCAAGGTGGTTTAACGGCGGTCCGACCTTGACCACGCTTTAAAGCTGGCGCCGCCTCTAGACCGGTGGTCACAGCGAAGTCAACCACGGCAGATTGCGAGGAATCGGGAATTTGATGCCCAGAAAATCCAACGAATTCTTTGGTGGCTGGGCAAATTCGTTCTTCATGAATTACCAATTGGTAATTGGGCTTAATTTTCGAAGGTGGTGGAGGTGGTGATTCGTCACCTCCAGTCATGGCTTATGGGTTAGCAAAGAAAAGAAAAAATTTAGGCCTGATACCATGTAGAAATATTAATTACCAATAAACTTTGGCTTGGCTTTTCATTAATCACAATCAAACTATTTATAATACAATCGCGAGATTCTTAATCTATCTCAAACTCTAGGAAAGACTAGTTTAACAAGGAATATAATTCCTAATATTATCCAAATACCTAAATATTATCTTAATATCCTAATATTATCTTAATAGTATTTCATGTTTTCTTGTAATATTTGCTGGGATTATGTCTGATCTTACTCTTGGTTTAATGTCTCTTGGCCTTGTTGAGTTTCAAAGAAGTGGTTCTTAGACTGAGAAGAAACAAGCAAGTTTATTTTCTGAGCTTATAGTATTTTCTGTCTGGTATTTTTGGCTTAATTATAATATATTGGAGGTCGAATCAGGAAAAAAAAAAAAAAAGAATTATTTGGGTTTGATTTAATTAATTTTTCCTTTTGATTGTTATTGAACATTATGAAATTGTGGGTTAAATTTGGGGCTTTTTAGTTAACTAAATTTGTATAGTTTTGTTTTCCAAAAAAAAAAAAAAAAAAAAAAAAAGTATAGTTTTATTCTCACATTATGAGTTTAAATTAGTTATGAACTTTTAAGGATTCATTGTAAAGGCTCAATTAATTATTTTGGGGCTTGTTTTGATTACCATTATTGACTGACTTAAGTGAAAAATTTTCACAATTTATTCATGGTTACTAAAAGCTTAATATGTTATGGACAAATGCAAATTTTGTTTTTGTTTTGTTTTTTTTTTGTTTTTTTTTTTTTTTTTTTTGGTGTTGGAGATCTGGATTGTTGAGTATTTGGCAGCTCAACAACCGTGACAAGGTTAAACATAAACGAATATCAAATTACAAGGGGGAAGGTATGATCCCACTCTGTCTTTTGGTGTTTCTAAATCTACATTAGGTGCATATGTTTCTGAATCTTCCATGCCATCATCATTTCCTCTTTCTAGCTGTTTATCTATGGATATGCTTTTGTGCTTGTTTATTGATTGAGCCTTCACTTCATGACAGGGGTTGGTACTGAAACAATAGTATATGATTATGCTTTCCAGTGGTCATTACTATATCCGGTTGTTGTGGATGATTTATATCTAAAATTTGGTATTTGGGTTGGCAATTTGACAGTTCAGTCGTCAGAAATTGAGCTTGGTGACGGGCTTCTAGACATCAGATCAACTGCAGTGCCTGAGTGCTCTAAAGAAGGCAGGATTTGAGGTTTGCTGTTGCGGATATCTCATTGAATTGTGTTTGTTGAAGAAAAGATGATTTCTGAGGTATATGACTGACCTTGGTTTTTGGTGTGATCCGTAATTTTTTAACTATCTGAATATGTTTATTTCAAACAAAATGAGTAACTTGTTTATGTCTCTTGTCTAATGATAGTTTTATAGTTACATACTTTATATATTTTATTTCTTTTTTTCCCCTGATTGTATGCAATAACTTAATACTGATTTAACAAAGTTCTATCTGGTATCTTCTCCCAAATTAGAGTTTAAGAATTTTGGAGCAATGTTGTGCTTGTATTGACACTTCGTGTTTCTGTACTTTGCTTCAGCTGGTTAAAACTTTGCCAAATACATCGAAGCATTAAACAGGAGGCATTCTATGTTGGTTTTGCTTGTACTTAGCTTCAAATGCCATGTATAGCTGTAGATGAAGTATTCCAATCCTCTGCATCATTTTAGTAGAGTATCACACTATCACTGTAAACAAAACTGATTCTTGTTTTACATTTATTGCCATTTTACAATTACAGTGTAAATTCTAATCAATTAGTACTATGTATGATAATCTTATCGATCTTAGACACATGAGGCTTGTTAGTAATGTTAAACTCCATTGATTCACTTAATGTATGTTCAATAACATAAGACAACTCTTGTTCAGAAAGAGGGACAATTATTAGTTGACATAAAAAAGAGTTTTTTATAGGTTGATGTGTATTTTGCAATACGAACTATTACTTTTCTGATTGTGCTATCATATTCTTCTCCTAGAAATTGAATAAACAATTGAAGCAGGAACTTGTGACTCTCCCCTTCGATGAAAGTACATATGCTATCCCCTTTCCCTTCCGAAAAATAAAGCTCTGGCAAAATTTAGCATAATATAGTTTAGCATAATACTTTTCATTTCAGTACTTGCTTTTTTATTTATGTAGAAACTTGGCATAGTTTAGCATTCTTTTCCTTATCATTTGTTATTAGGGTTGCTGCTGTGGTAATTAACAAGATTAATTTGTTAATGTGCCATGTGTTTAGAGTTGGGATTGATTTGTCTGGGCGTTTGTTTAGGCCGGGTCTTTAATTAGCTATTTGCTATTGATTAGTTAGTCCTTGATGCATGTGGGTTGCTTTATTAATTATGCTTGCCCATGTTAGCCGTTAATTTGTCTCTTAGAATTATAGATATTGTTGCAACAGGCATGAGGTTTCTTTAATTTTCTCCCTCTAAATCGTAAGATTTCTGGGATGTTTTTACCATGAATTCTGGTTGTTTTGGTGGTTTTTGAAAATATTGAGGCTTGCCGATTGGATCTCAGGGATCATTTTATGGGGAGAGATAGATAACATATTACCAAGTATGAGAGGGAAGTTATTATTATGAAACCTCCAAATTAGGGGAATGTAGGCAATTCATATCGAATGGACGAAGTATTAAATTTATACACCATGCATGATAATGTTGCCAGCTTTACAATTTGAAATTTCCTTTATAGAAAGAAGTTATTCATCTATGTTTTCTGAGGTAATGAATCGGACAGCATTAGAGATTACTCTGAACTCCAAAATATATTGATGTCATTTCAGTTTGATATTTGGTTGTTCGGGTTGCTTGTTGAAATTCAATTGTATGGGGTAGAGTTGTGAATTATTCAAACATTTGAGACATCTTGCAAAGTTGCAGTAGGATTCATGTTGGGTTGTTGTGATTTTTGTTGTTGCAAAGTTGCAGTAGGACTATGTCACGTATCAATGCATTATTCAAGTGATTGGGAGCTGGGTTGTGGACATACTAAAATCTTGATACCTTGCTTGCAATGGGATTCATGTTATATTGTTGTGATTTCTGTTGCTTAACTTGTCTATATTAGGTTTTTTTTTTTTTTTTTTTTTTTGAAAATATTCAAGTTATCACAAGCCAGATTTCAGAAATCTTGTGATTCAGGCTTTGAGGCAATTAATGTGCCTGCGAATAGGCTTGACAATTAAGTTGTCAGCTTCCCTTTTAATCGTCTTAGTACAATCAGTTCATGTACTATCTGCTCATTTTGTGGAAATTTTTTCTGTCAAATATCTCTTTTGTTACCGTGATTGGATCAAGTGAATGACTAATTAGATTAGCTCAAACTGTGGTATTATTTTATGTTCATTTATGACCTTACTGTTTTTTTTTTCCCTTTACTAATGACCGTTATGTCCGCCGATCCATCTCAAAACTTTGGAGTAAGAAATAAAAAATCTATGTGATTTTATGTATAGGTAAAATTTACATTAATGGTTCTAATTTTTTATTGAGACTTATTCCTTATGTTGTGCATCAAGTAAATTATAGTAATGCTTGCAAAATGGGGAAGAAAGGAAGCTGATTTTCAGCAATTAAGAGGGTCTTTGGCCTCTTTGCACATAGCTCTAAGGAGAAAGTAACTGATGTAAGTACTTCTTTCTGACTTAGGCAAGCACCACATTTATTTTGGAAAAAAAAAATTACATTTAGGGTTCTTCCAATGTGAGTAATTGAAGAATTGATTATAATTACTGAACAAATTAAACATTTAGTGATGAGCAATTTTGTTGCTCCCTTGAGATATATAATCTAGGAAACAAAGTGACAAGATCTCCCTTCTTTACCAAATTAGGATTTTAAAATCTGAAAAATGTTGAGAACATTCGATTGAGGTGAGAGTATCTCTATAGGAAGAAGCTTAGAAAGAAAAGAGTGTTTGTTGTATGATAAGAAATGTAAAATCAGAGAGAAGTAAAAAAGTTAGCCTTAGGAAAGGGGTCAAAAATGACTAACAAATTATTCTTCTTCTAGGTACAAAGTGCAACATTTCATCTGTATAAGAGCATGCATAATATAGGATTTATTGCTTTTGAAAACATTTTTGTCTGTAAATGACTTATATTGTGAATTGTAAACAATTGCTTATATATCCTAGATTATAGAGTGGTTGGATTTATTAATATATAGGTTCTTTGACGTATTCAATATGGCTTAAATTGAAAGTATTATTTACGTCAAATAAGGCATTGGTATGATCTGTTAAGTGAATTTGCTTCACTTGATTTTTTTGCAGAAATCTTCTATGATAATGAAGAGTTTGTCTGATGTGGACGATGAACTTTTGAAGCTACAACCTCAATTTGACAATGCAGACTTGCCCCCTGGTGTTGAGGCGACATCAGTTCCCTGGTCGCAGGTTCCAACACCAAGTGAGAAGCCTCCTACTGCTGGAACATCGATTTTTCCAGTCCAGGAAGAGAAAGTCTCTGCACCTAGCTGCTCTAAAGCCGAGTCAAGTTCAATAGTTATGGACCAGTAGTTGGTTAAGCATTTTCAACAGGAAGTTTCTAGATTGGAAGCTGAGATCAAAAGTCCTAAACCTTCATCTTCATCAACTTTAAAGGCACTTCTGATTGAGAAAAACGTAAAAATCCAAGAGGTATGTTTTCTTAGCTCGTGAATAACTTTACACACTGGGATTACTTTTACTCAAACCACAACATTTTCATCCTTTTTTATGTGTTGAAAATCCTGAAATTATTAAAGGTTTGTTCTGATTTTTTAAAGCAGAATTAAGAGTTTGAAACACAAACCCTACCTTATTTGATCCTCACAAAGACATTGTCGATACAAGCTCACCCATGCAAGGAGTTGGCAAAGAAATTGTAAATTAAGAACCCACTTATTTACAAGGATGGCAATCATAAGCCAAAAATGGCTCTTGCAGTAACAAAGTTTGATATCCTTTGCGATTTTGTCAGTATCGAGGTATGAAAATTGCCCGAGTTTCCTCTTCGTTAATCTCTATTGCTGATTACCTGTACATCTTTGAGTAATTTATCTGATTTTCCAGAGTTAATTTTCTATTGAATTAAGTGTTTGAAACTAATACTGTAGTAAACTAGAAGTCTTGGCAGTTTTGACATGTTACAAAGAGTTTTTATGAGGAGCTCATATGTTGCTGTTTGTTTGATATAGTAGTGTATTAGATAATTAGATATATTAACTCATACATAATCGAGAAACTTTTGTCTTCTTGGCTTATACATGTTATTTCTTTTGCCCCATTATTTTTGTGTCTTTATCTATATGACGTTGTAGTTAAATTTTCCTAGTGGAAGTAATCTCTTAGAAGTGCAATCTCCACCACCCTTGATTTTACAACATCGATGAGTAACTTGTGAGATAAAAACTGTTGTTGGCTAATGCAAACTCCCTCTTGTATTTCGAGAACTCCAAAGGTGTTTCAGAAATATCACAGTTGGTTGATGAAGTTATCATGTTGCTTCTGGGGATGTTTTACTGAAATTCCAACCCATGTCCTGTTTTATTCTCTCCCAATGAAGGGCTGCCCTGTGCTAAAAGTGTTTTAAGCACATGTGAAGAAGAAAAGACAACCACTGTATAAGTGTAGGGATTATTTGTTATTGCCAAGTGTTATTGCAATAACACCTCCCTTAGACTTGTAAGCTGCTTGAGTCCCCTCCTTGGCTATGCCTAGCTCATTTTTTCTCATTTGGCTGGCTATGAATAGCTTAATCAGTAAATCTCTGTTACGAAACGTTTTTGTTTCTCACAGTGGCAGTTTTATAAATAAAATGTACCACCGTGACTAAAGTGGTACATTTTATTTACGAAACTGCCACTGTGAAAAACAAAAACGTTTCTCACAGTGAGTAACAGAACTTAATTAGGTAATTGATAGTGTAACTGTAATTGCTGGTTTGTCTTTTCTCTACACATGTAACTAAAACTTGTTTGAAATGAGGATGCCATCAAATACTTGGTATGTTATTTCAGGTTTAGTTTCTATAATAAGTAGTTTGCGATCATTTTTGTCTACATCAGGAGGAAGTATTATACAAAGTTGAGGCAAATTCGGAGAACTGGATGATTGTTGGCAGAAAGCGTGGGCATATCTCTCTCCCCACTAAGCAAGCTAATAGCAGTCAATCAAAGTTCATACTCTATGATTAAGTGAACTCGATATAATTTATATTTGATATTTTGTTTAGGAACTAATATGCTTGTAATATATTCAGGATCAAGATTTATAATCTCAATTTCGTGTATACCCTTAGTGGCTGGGTATGTACGCCCCCTCATCTTCGGTTGCCAGATATCGACGACGCAAATATTAGTAATCTGCCTGCACCGCCTTTGGTCTGTGTCTTACCTCCTGCTAGATCTTAGTACTATTGATTGATTTTTGTAGTTTAAGTCAGTAGAATGTAGTAGATTATAATTCTTCCACGGAATTATTGATACCTAGGCACTAGAAAATTTTCAGCATTGTGAGTACCCTATGTATAATCTGCAATTACCACAACATAATAGGATGAGGAATATTTTTGTGACTTGCATTGTAATCTCTCTTCAAGTCAATTTTAATGATACAAGGGGAACTTTTCTATATATACGAAGTAATTTTAACTTTATGCCTGAATTGATGTACTTCCTTTGTTTTTTAAATATTGCACCACTTATCTTTTGAGGAAGTTTCACAAAAATTGTGCTATATCCATTTTAGGAAATAATATATCTCTGTTTACATTGTAAATACCCAATATAGTCTTACTTTTAACACTTGATTCTTTTAACACTTGATTCTTTACTTTTTTCAGTTTACATCACATGGATGGTTATGTATTTTTATGTGATATTCAAATAGTAGGAGGTAATTCAAGTTACTCAATATGAGTAACATATCAAAATATGTTACTCAAAGAATACTATTGTCTTTTCTATACTACCATTCAACTTTCTCTCTCCTCAATCCTCTCCTACCTCAGGTCCTCAACCATGGCGCTGCACCTCGACCTCACTTCACCACCAAAACCGTCATCACAACCACCATCACTCCGCCGAACACATCACAACAGTCATTCAATATTTTAAAAGTTTTTCATCTTGCCTCTTTAAACTTACATATACATTTAATACCACTTTTTTTATAAACACAAATTACACAGTTTATATTTCCCGTTTAATTTCACACAATTGGGTGAGGGGGAACTAGTAATGTCAAAAGTTCAAACGTTGCAATATTTTGAAAAACAAAGATATATAATATATCATTTACCTTTTTATATGCAGAAAATGTATGACTTTGTAAGAACTAAGACTTTCTATTGTCTAGTTTTGTCTTTTAGGAAGTACATTTTTTTTTTCTATTAATTACAAAATGTTTAAAATAATACGAAGTAATCAAATTGTATGCTCGCTGGACTATTTTGCTTTAAAAAATTTCATCTTTAATGTTCTTAATACTTTGTATACTTAATTTAAACTAATTTAGAACACTTTAGTTCTCATTCAATTCTAAAAAAATAAATATATATTTTCATGGTTTAATGTGTTACTTAATAGTACAATAGTTGAGAAATGATCTTATGAGATTTGTAAAGTGGTCTGATCAATCAGAAATTCTTGCGTGGACCTGGTTTACATTAATATTATTGTGGACCTGAGATTTATATACACGCAGAATTAACGTTATTTGGAACATAGTGACCGTAATTTTTACATAGTATCCTCATTTTTTAACATAGTAACTTTTATTAAAACTTGTGTGACCTTTAATGTTATTTCTGTTTACATCCCAAAAAATTAACCTCTTATAGCTTTTATAATGTCACAATCACTTTTATTTCAACATAATAACCTTTATTTTAATGTAGTGACCTTTTTTTTATTAATTAAACAATCACAGTATCTCTAATGTTAGTGGTCCATAATAAATTTTGTGTGAACTAGGTCCATTTAAAAATTTGTACTGACCAATAATGCAAATTTGAGTCTAAAAATAAAATGGATACGCTAAGGTATCGATATAGATATAAAAAAAATAGATAATAACAATATTTATAAGGTTAGTGATAATCAAATTGAACCTCACCAATAAAGGTAAATGATCAAATGATGATCTCATAATATAAGCTACTAATGTAAAAGGTAAAAAATCATCTCGATAACAAAATAAATCATTGAGACTCTTCAATTTAACTTTTTGACTTAAGATATTTGTGTTAATCTTAATTTGATATCCAATGAGATGTAATATCCAACCAGCTGCTTTCAATTTAAAATATAGAAATAAAAATCAGGCTTTATAGAATTTTCACACAATGAAAATAAATCTGAGATATTTTAGCTGTAATAACTATAAAAGTATCCTTCAAATTTTGGAAACAAATCAAAGGAAATATTTCATCTTTCATTTGGAACATTTATGTAAAAATGTCTTAAATAATTTATTCAGGAGCTAAATTCTTGTTAAATGATGAACACACAATAGATTATTAGTTTGTTAAATTATTTGTATCGGATAAAAAAGCTACCTTTTTATGATCAATAATAATTTGACTAATACATATATTATATATAATTTATACTCGTAATAGACAATTAATTAATAAAATGCTCCAAAGTTGAATACATGGAGCCATCACACTTTTTATAATAAGCTCTATATTTATTAAATGCCACTTTTTATTAATCGGCTATAATAGAAAATAACCCATAACAAAATAATTACCCACCTACTAGCAAGGTCATTTTGGACATTTTAATTGGCAACATTGGCCAATGAAATTGAACTTTTAAGAAATCTGACATAAATTAGTATATATAAATAGGACATTAAGCTCACTCTTCACACACTAGAATAAGAACTAATAACTACCCTTTACATCAAATCACTCATTTCTCTCTTGTTAAGTTGCTATACTTTTGTCCAGTGATTCTCATCTTTCTTTAAATCTTTCTACCTATTGGTAAGTTGATAATCTTGAATACTACGTAATATTCTTTATGAATTATGATACATGATTGTCATATAATTAAGAGTTTGGATATATACATTTATTTCATATTTAATCATTTTTTTTCATTTCTTATTAGATTGATTTCATGATAAATTATTTTTGGAGGGATTTTGACGATTTAATTCCAAAGATTTTTTGACATGCATGATTTGTCAACCATACGTTGAAAAAAAAACGTACATGTCTTCTTATAGCGTGCTAAACAGTCTAAACACAAAAGTCTATTTTTTTTAGTAGGCTTACTTTAACTCCTGACTTTAGTACAACTATTTTATACAATAATAAATATTAAATTTTAAGGATTTATATATCTTTCTGCAAGACTTCAGAATTTTTCAATACTATTTTGCGCGAGCAAGCACGTACTTCACAATGCAACCTCACGCACATGTCTACTCATGGTAAACATCAAAAGGCCGAATTTGTGTTACCGAAAAATAATCCTTAATGATGATCCTTTTCTAATTCATTATAATCTCTTGATTTTTTTGGGATTCAATAAGGAAAATCTTTTGTCATCTGAAAAAGATTTTATAATATCATCTTCAATAATGTATGAAAGAAAAGGTTTTCATGAAGATTTTTGATTCTATAACAAATGTATCCATAATGGTGATAATATGCTCTTATCAACTATACCTTGCCTTCAAATCTGATTGATCTGTCTGAATACCATGAATCACCTATTGTCTTTGTACAAATACCCCATATAAAAAAGTGAAATCAGCAATATTTTTCATTCATGGAGAAGAAGAAAAAACAAAAACAAATGAAATTTTAGAACAAATTAAAACTCGAAAGTATAACTTAAAGTTGCATTCTTTATAAAGTATATAGGAAGTCACAATAATTAGTGAAATCGATATGATGACCAATTTCAGGTTTTGAGTGTCATTTTCAAAATAATTACGTCATTAAAAAACTAACGTCTTTATTTTTAATTGATTTATATATATAATTATAAAAGCTAATTTTAAGGTTTCTTCGATTTTAATTTGTATACAAAACCAAAAAAAACAAAAAATTTAAATACGAGGAATTTGAAGTTTCAAGTCCACATAAAATATAATTATAATAAAACCAATTTACTTAATTTTATTTTTATTTTCAAAAAATTATTGTTCTTATTAATTTTTATTATATATATATATATATATATATATATATATATATTCATATATATATATATACATATATTCATATATATATACATATATTCATATATATATACATATACATATATATACATATATTCATATATATATATATATATATATATATACATATATATATATATACATATATATATACATATATACATATATATATATATACATATATATATACATATATACATATATATATATATATATATACATATATATATATATATATATATATATATATATATATATATATATATATATATATATAATAAGGCAGGTTTAATTGGATTCACTAAGGCAGGTTTAATTACCTTTCAAAAATTTAAGATAGTATAGTTACATTAACATATAAAAATTAGGAGCAAATTAAACCTCTTCCTAATTAGCTCTCATTTTTTCTTGATTTCTTTCATACATCTACAACAATGGGATTCAGACCATCAATAACTCACAAGCATTCATGGGGGACATTGTCAAATTAATCGCGATGAGGCCCGTTACTTTTTTCATCCTCTTGGTAAGCAATAATTGTTATTACTTGATTTCTATAGCCGAAAAAAAATTATTTTTTATGATATCTCTTTATGTATGTTATTTTGAAACCCTCCCCCGTTATTGTGTGTAACTATATTGTTTAGTGATTGGAGAGGATTCTCGTTTCTATGATTTGAAATATAATCGTGCTTTTGTTACATGTTACAGACATTTGCTGTGTCGTTGTTGCCTATCGTTATCATTCCAATATGGCATCATATAACGAAAAATATAGTTAAAATTGTGGAGATGGAAGCAAGTTATGCTCGTTATGAACATATTAAAAAAGTTCAAGACGTAGCAAAACTAATATCACCCATTAATTCATCAGCCGTCAACCTAGCAAGTGTTTTGGACTGTGATAATACGCATGACAAACTTTTATTTTCCGAGATTAAAAAGGAGGTTTGTAATTATCCTTTCCCGTGTTGTTTTTGAGATTTGTTATGCTACGGAGTTTTTATGTAATCTTGTTTTATACCATGTATATTTTGGATTTACTAATTTACCAAGATGATTATAGCAAAATTAGTGATTTTATGAATGATTAATTCATGAGTATTTGTCAAAAAAAAATTCATGAGTAATAAAATATTTGTGTCTATTGCAAAGTAAACTTTTTTATTTGAAATGCCGCCACAATCTCCATTATATATATATTATATATAAGAATAGCAAAAAAAATTCTATTGAAAAATAAAATCACCCAATTCTATAAATAATATAATAGTTTCCTCAAAAAAAAATCTCAATTACCTTTAACTATGTTTTTTTTGGTGCAAATTTTTTTTTTTTACTTATATAATCCATAACTATTTGCTACTAAAAAGAATAAGATATTATACAGTAACTTTCCATATTACAATATTTTCTAGTGATATTACTACTCATTAGTAGGATGGAAATACTTGTAGTATTAAAGAGAAGATCATTTACAGCTTTTAGCCTTAAAACATATTACTATATGAATAATAGTTTGTATTACTCCATATAATTTATTGATAAAAAATACTATATAAATTAAAAGGCTATTCATAGCAGCTCATAAATTGAGAACGAAATCAATCAATCTAATAAATTTAAGAAACTTCACTTTATTAAAAATGATTTGATTCTACTAAAATCAATTATATTGAAGGAAACTAGAATCAAAATCATTTGCAGTCTTACAAAATCAAACCAACATTTTCTTTTTTCTTTTTTTTTTCTTTTTTTTTTGTCAAAAGAAAATACTTTACAAAAATTTATACTATATATTAAAATTATTATGAAGATGACTATTTAAGCGTAAGAAAGTGTATCGCTACATGCCTACAAACATTTATTCAACATATCTAAAAATATATCAATTTGACTTATGTTTATTATGTAGTATAATCACTTAATCAGTACTCTATTATTTCCGGAAATAATAGTCCTTATGTCGGTAAATAATACGAGTAGTAATCTTTTATGACAAACATACTTTCGCGACCCCACTTATATGAAGCTAAAATCATGGTAAATTCTATATCTAAAAGTTGGATAATGTGACAATTGATTATGAATCGATCACTTTTTATTTAATTTTTATCATATACTGCGCAGCTAACGGCTTCAAAACTTTTTCAGGTTGCGCCTGCATTATTTATATCACTATTGGTCACACCTCATACAATCCAAGCTTCATACATTGGATTGGATGGTCTCTTCTTCTCTTACATAAAAAATAATGATCAAATATTTGCATTATACTCAAACTCAACTTTTAAAAATAATCTTGATCATTACACTTGGTATACTCAACTAGTAAAATCTACTAGTGGAGAACTACTAGGAGAAGCCAAGATCACAAAACCCCTTATTGTAACCAATGAGACATGGTTCCAAAAAGCAATGGATAGCTCGAATGGCTATGCATCGTTAGGGTGTGGATGGATTACTTACGACGAAAATGAATTGTCAAGTCTATTCTTAGATACCGCGAGACTAGGTAGTGTTGGAGCTATCTCTCTCGGGTTTTCAAGTGATGAAATAACAACCATCTTCTCTAGCACAGATGTTTTGGGTGCAAGCTTGTACATGGCAACCCTTGGTGATGACAAGGTACTAATAGATGATATAAAAGACGCCGACATTACAATTATGAATGGCAAAGCAGCTTTGGTGCAAGCTAGCAACAAAGCTAATCTTGGTGAAATTTCATGCAAATCTATCGACAATGGTGTTACAAATGTTAGTGGTACGTCCATAGACATTGGAGGAGCCAATTTCATTTTCTATTGCTCGTCGATTGATGTTGCAAGGGTGCCAATGGTACGTGTTCTTGTCGTTTCACAATATATGTAAGATACATTGTCAATATTACATATACATAGTATTGTGAAATTTTCACTAATGATATGTGTAAAATATGATATTAAAAATACAAAATATTTTTGTGCATGTATATAATAGCCTTGGTTTATTTTCTTGTAGGTATATGTATTGGCTTATCCAAGCAATGGATTAATTAGCATTGTACACAATCACACGAAGGTGGAACTAATACTTCAAATTATCATGGTGGTTGACATGGTAATTTATGTGTTCGCGTTTGTAACTTTGATTGTTAGAGCGGCTAGGAGGGAAGTGCACTTGTGTGCAGCGTACATGAGGGAAATGGAGAAAACAACACAAGCTGAGAGAAAGAGCATAAAGCAAAGCTTGGCCTTTGCGAGTGCTAATCATGATGTTCGCGGCTATTTAGCTTGCATTAAGGGCTTGACCGAACTCTCTGCTGCTGATCTTCCTCCCTCTTCTGAAGTTGCTTCTAGCTTGAGGAAGATAGATACTTGTGCTGAGGACCTTTTAGGTAATATAAGCATAATATATATACACATTTTTTGTTCATATATAACAACTAATTCATCTTTTGTGTTTCTTTCTTGTTGAAATATGCAGCATTAGTGAATTCCATCCTAGATTTCAGCAAGATAGAAGCAGGGAAAATGCAATTGGAGGAGAATGAATTCAACTTAGCACAACTAATTGAAGACGTAGCTGATTTACACCACCCGGTTGCAATGAAAAAGGGAGTAGAGGTGATCCTAGACCCTAGTGATGGTTCCATCTTCAGGTACTCCCAGGTAAGAGGTGATCGCGGCAAGCTCAAGCAGATCCTTGGCAACTTGCTAAGCAATGCTGTCAAGTTCACTTCACAAGGGAACATTTGCATCACATGTCATTCAAAGAAACCAAGCTTTGAGAACTCTATCATTGCCTCAAACAGGAACAACTTGTTAAACAGGTTGTCGAGCTTCTTCCATAAGAATAAGCGTGCATATAATGATCTCGAAGACATGAAGACAATCAAGCAAGATCCAAACTGTATGGAGTTTGAGTTCCAAGTGGAAGATACAGGTCCCGGGATCCCTAAGGAGAAGCGCCATTTGATCTTTGAGAACTTTGTTCAAGTCAAAGAAAACTCTGCTGAGCAAGTTGGCACTGGTTTGGGTCTAGGCATTGTCCAATCTTTGGTATGTATGTTTAACACTAAAATTGAAGTTAATTGATTTGGCAATAAGTTACTGATATTTTCATGCATCCAATCAACAATTAACTTGTAATTTTTTTATTAAAATTCAGTGTTTGATGCAACACTAACGAGGTGTATGAAAATATTTTGCAGGTTAGATTGATGGGAGGAGACATAGAAATTGTGGACAAAGCCAACGGTGAGCAAGGGACATGCTTCAAGTTCAACATCTTTTTAATAGTACAAGACGAATGTTTGGATAACCCAAGGCAAGAATTGACTGAGCATAGGGAGATCAATTCGGGCTCAGGGTTAAGCACGTGTGTTCGTAGTCCTAGAGGTGATAAGTCTCTAGTGATTCTCTTAATCAAGAATGATGCGCGGAGAATAATGGTCCATAGATACATGGAGAGCCTCGGAGTAAACTTGAAGGTCCTAAGCCATGGGAAGCAACTCTCTCCGAATCTTAAGAAGATCAAATCTATGCTCATTGAGCCTCAATATAACAACTCCTCGTCAGGGAGGTCAGACACGAGCCCTCCTCGAGGAGCTTGCTTGAGTAGCAACTCTGAACGCAGTGGTAGAGGTTGGTCCAAACTCAATCCTCTTAGTACAATGGATGATACCAATGAAGTACTCCCGGTGTACAAAAGGTCCACTATTCGAGGGTCAGTGAACTGCATACTACTTGTAATAGATTGCAATGTAGGAGATAATTTTCAGAAAATGCAGAGATCGGTATCTGAGTTTAGAAAGGACCTTTACATGACCTGCATCAAGGTAGTTTGGCTCGATAGGCCTGACACTCGTAGAGCTCACTTCCAAGGTTTGCAAGATGAGAGTCTCCCTTTGACAGATCTTATCATATCGGAGCCTCTTCATGGATCACGCTTATTAAGGATTATAAGGCTTCTCCCTGAGTTTGGGGGAGATTCTATAAGATCTCCTTATGGGAGATCAAAGAGGTCCAACATTGCAATTCTAAGCAACACACATTCGAATACTGAAGAAGATATTGGTGAGTCCAGTAGTGGGGAGATTAAGCTAGCTAGGAAAAGGCGAAGCTTGAAATTTACTACTTGTAGGGATAACTTTGCTAATGAGCAAGATATCCCTCAAGTTCTAAGGAGCTCTAGCAGCGAGAAGTCTTCATCGATGACTAAAACTACTCAAACAGGAGAGATACAAGAAGTTCCAAGGTAATGTAATGATGTATATTCACATTTCAAGTTGGTGTTTGATGAGAAAATGTTTTCAATTTCATATTTTTGTGTTAACAGCAATGTAGAGATCCAGAAATCTCCCTTGGAGGGGAAAAAAATTCTGATCGTTGAAGATCATTTCTTACAACGAAAGCTCGCTGAAACAAGTGTTAAGCGTTTAGGTGCCGAAACTCAGACATGTGGAAATGGCGAAGAAGCTCTTGAGGTGGTCTGCAAAGCATTGAGCAACCAACCAAGTGGAGAACCCTTTAAGTTTCCATATGACTTTATAATCATGGACTGTCAGGTGAGCTACACGTATTTCGTATTTATATTTTGTTCACCTTAAAACTTACAGTAAATCATAATGATTAGTAACTTGAGGTATCTTGTGTTTATTACAGATGCCAGTTATGGATGGTTTTGTAGCAACACAAAAAATCCGCGAAGAAGAGAGGAAGTATGGACTACACATTCCGATTATTGCACTGTCGGCTCATGAGGTGGATGGAGAAGAAGGCAGGAAGATTGCTGAGGCTGGAATGGATTTCCACCTGACAAAGCCACTCCGTGGTGAAGAACTTCTAAAAGTAGTACAGCATCTGTTAATATAAGAGATTTGTATAGATCATACATGTACTTTAATTATGTATTAGTAGGTCCTTATTTATGTGCCTGCAAAATCTGGATATTTTTGCATTGTGCAGGTACTTAGGTTTTGTAATCTGCATGGATTATACAAATATATGCAAGCATTTTAAAAACCATATATAAAGTACGTAGTACTACATATTGATAAACATTTAAAGTGGAAGGAGTATTTATGTTATGTTTGTTTCTCTTTTAAGATTCCAAATGAGAGCTAATAAAAATAAAATAATAATGATAATAATTAAAAAATTAAAAATAAAAAAAATTATGACTTTTCTTCGAATTTTTAATACACCACTTCTAGAAATTGTATTCATTGTAATGACTAATAAGTGGCAACCAAACATTCAAAGAAAAATCTTAAAATCATCAGCCTTCATTTATGAAGCCCATTTTCCTCAAAGACGGGAAAAGAAGTTCACAAGAAAAGAGCATCTCTAATTATTGTAGTTAGGGATTGGGTAGCAATTTAGAAAAAATTTCTAGCTACTCGTTTGACCATTGGAGCTAAAAATGAAATTATCTTGATGAAACTATTTTGCTTGAGAAAAACCTTGCCAAAAAAAGAGGATAAAGTTAAATTTAAAATGCTAATTAAGAAATTAAAGCTCTTTTAAAGCATAAGTTAGTAGCTAAGACACAAACTAGCTATAAAAGAAATTAGTTTAAAATTTTATGTGCCATAACAAGCTAATTTGCTATTTAGCTTGCCATTGGATTACGAAAGTACATTGAATCTTTGCGATATTAGTATATTACCCTTTGTAGCTTTTAAACATCAACACATATCTTAGAAAATAGAAGTATTAAATTTGAATAGATAATAGATTCTCAAAGAATGTTTTCAAGTTCAACTTAATTTCAACAGCTCTATCAACTTGACTAATACGAAGGATTGCACTGTTCTTTTGAGCAGAGCAGATTTCAGCTAAGCAAAGCAGATGTCAACAAAGCAGAGCAGATTATGAATACTCAGCAGAGCGAGGCTAAGCAAAGCAGAATAGGGCTTAACATAGCATAACAAACCACGGCAGCTCAAAAGAACACAAAAGAACAGGGCCTACATCGCATTTACCACTTAACAGCTCTGTCAACTTACCCAATACAAATTAAAGTGTTTTAGAACCATGATTTAGTAATATGTGCTATATTATAACTACTTCGCAGTACGCACGTAGTTATCAATATACCTGCCCAACAAATGCCATCAGTAAATTCAACACAGCATAAAAAAAAAAAAAAATCCGTAACTACCACTGGAGTTGCACACTTCAATTAGAGCTAATTTAGCCTTCAATAGACCTTGTCTTAGCCAGAAAACCAGGAAGTATTGAAGGCCAATTCAAGGACTCTTTCCATACTCCCTCTGTAACCTCTGTTCCATAACATCTAACCATTCAAATAACTATTTTAATTTTATACAATATTCTGTACATCACTGAAACTTATGCTATCAATTAGAAATCCAAATATCAATGCAATAATTAATACCTAAAATTTCTGCATAAGCAACATTTTGTATGGAATGGCGAGAATACTTCATAGCCTAGTCATTGACCATATTAGACAATAAAGAACTCAATATACTGAAATTGGAACATAAGCTAAAGTTTAATTGATATTTCATGAAGCTAGGGACTGTACATATCAAAGGCGCCAAAGCTTGCATACCAAACATTGCTAAACGCCTAATCAAGCATGTCAGGATACACCAAATCCTCTCGCAAGGAGATAACAAACACCAGTCAACTATAACTATAACCTAGCTTAGTTGCTATCTGTCAAGTATAAATTGTTCCTATTTTCTTTTCCCTTCACTTCCCACCTAATCTTCTCTTATGGGGGACAGGGGATGGCACAGTTGGAGCTGCCTTACATTTTCACCCATAGCAGTCAGCAGCTCCCAACACAGTTACTTATGATACGAAGGACGCACCTAGAAAGTAGAATATTTTGAAAACTCAAGTTTCTAACCAAGCTAATGTCCCCAATATCAAAATTTTGCCCGGCAGTTCTCCTGCTGAAGGTGCAAGGTACGTCATTTTTTTCCTGCATATTGATATATACATAAATCAATAACCATCAAGGATACGTTATTCATAGATCAATACACATGCAAGGTACGTTATCAGGTTCACTTATATAAACATAAATCAATAACCATCCAAAGAACCACCAACCTTTGAACATCAACATCAGTAATATATATAAACCCAGCAACATTACTGCGACCATGGAAACAAATAAACATCAATTGTTATTGATATAATATAGGAAAATTTAACAACAAAAAACCAACCTTTGCTCCGTTCTCCCAAAATGGACCAACCTTTAAATCTTTCCAAAATAAACTCAAGTTTGTATTTTTTCTCATGTAGCAAACCAGGTTGCAATCCACATGTCATGTCCTCATTTGTTAATTTTTTTTTTTTTTAAATTTGATAATTAAAAAAAATTATTTATTTTAATTTTTAAAAAATCTGATAATTTAAAAAAATAAAATAAAATAAACACCCTCCCATTCCCCACCACTGTCCGCCCTCCCTCCCCACTAGCCACCCCTTCCCTGACGGCAGCCGGCGCCCAATCCATTCCTCCGGCTCAGGCGACCCCCCCTCCCTTTTCCCCACCCTCCATGAAACCACTCAAAGCCCCTTAAAAATAACCCCGCAGACACTACTTACACTACCCATCACCCTCAAAAACCACCACATCCACCACGAAAACCACAAAAAAAAAAGGCCCATCTCCATAAACACCCCTAACCACCCTCATAAACAACCCACAAACACCCAAACAAGACTAGATCTAATGACAATTACTCGGAAAAACAACCAAAAAACTAGATCTAACAAGAATTACTCAGAGAAATAAAAGAGAGAGAGAGAGAGAAGAGTGACGGTAGTAGATGCTGCCGGGACTGCGCGGCTGCTTGCGGTGGCCGGAAATGGTGGCGGTATGCTGGAGGTTGGTGTGGTCCGGTGGTCAGATGCTTGCGTGAGAATAGAGGGAGTAAGGAAGTTGTGCGGTTTGGTGATGGCGAGAAAAGCGGGGGGGTGGAGTAGTGGGAGTTGGCTGATGTTGTTGATAGGTGTGGCTGGTGGTGAGCGTGAGTGAAGGAGATTGAATGTAGCGGGCAGGAGGGAAGAGAATTGGCGGTCGACGGCGAGAAAAGTAGGGAGGTCTAAGTTGTGCGGTTTGGTGGTGGTGAGAAAAGCAGGGAGGTCTGAGTTTTTTTTGTTTTTTTTTTTTTAATTTTGTTAATTTATTAATTTAAAAAGATAATTAAATGAAAAATTAAAAAAAAAAAAAAAAAATGACCAGTTGTTCAGGTCACAAGTCATTTGGGTTTGCTATGAGAGAAAAAATACAAACTTGGATTTATTTTGGGAAGATTTAAGTTGGTCCATTTTGAGAGAACAGAGCAAAGGTTGGTTTGTTGTTGTTAAATTTTCCTATAATATATATATATATATATATATATATATATATATATATATATATAAAATAAAAATAAAAAATAAAAAGAAGGCTAATAATCAAACCTCATTTAACACTATTTTTTTTGTGAGAAAACAACTTATACTACACATTTTATTCGAAAAAGAAACCTTGTAGATGGATTCCAGCAAAAAAGTCAAAACTCACTCAGCCATTTTCTTTCACATCAAAAAACTCAATTTGTTCACAATTTTCAACCCATGAACTCATCTAAAATCTTACAAAAACGGTAAAGGCAAGATCTTCAATTTAATCCTTTCTCATTTTTATTTTTTTTGTTAATCTAAATTACATGTGGTTGAGTATTTATTCAAATTAGAAAAAACAAATCAATTAGGCAATAAACTTGTGAATTTAAATTGAAAATTCAAATTAAGGCTTTGGTAATTTTTGATAATGTCAAGGATCTGGTGGGCTGATGGGTGTAGCTTCTAACAGCAGTTTTTTCTTTTTTGATTTTTCAATTTCTATTTTGGCCCAGAATTAATTCTTTCAAACAATGGTTAAGTTGGGGCAACAACACCCAACAAAAAATGCAAGTGTGGTCTGTGTATATGCAAAATCATAAATTGAGGTTAATCTTGAAGAAATTTCATTTCATACAAGTTTTATGATTATGAAACAGGAAAAGGTTACAAACTTTTCAATGGGTTGATCAGGGAATGACAGATTCAAAAAGGGAAGTAACAAATGAATAGTTGGAGGAGATCAAAGATATTAATCAAGAAAGTTGGAGGAGATCTGTATGCTGAAGAAAAAATTAATAGACAAGAAAATGAAAAGACCAATTTGCTTGCTGAATTTGGAGGGATAAAGAACAGGGAGGAGGAACATCAAGATGATTGAAAAAGAGAGTGAAACACATGCACATAAAGGGAGAGGTAAAGGGAGGATCAATGTCTTATATATGAATTTTTAGCCGGAATTTGTCCATAAGGAGAATCTTTTGTGAAAAAAATTGTCATATTAAGGTGTCTTTTCACAAATTCTGTATTAAATAAAGACTCTTCTGACAAATTTTCTAATAAACATCAAACACCCTTCATTAGTTCAAGAACCGATGTAATATAATGCAAAACATTTATGAACACATCTGCATTCCTCATTAAAATTACCTAGTAATAATGTCTTCCGGATCCTTGGCAAATGAAACAGCAAGCACAGCATGTAGCAAGTCTTGGCTGATGTTTACAGGAACCACCCTAGTAGGGTCAGCAGCAGGCTCTGCACCAATTGGCAGAGCTGAACGTGGTGCTTGCGGTCCACCACCAATTCGGTAGACAGACAGGTCATTGAAATTAGCAATGTTGGAATGAGGTGAGAGATCATTTGCCAGGCCATAGAAATATTCCTGAAATTAAATTTTTTAAAAATGTGGCATCGACAAACTTTAAACGTCTAGGTAACTTGGAGAAACTATTCGCCATTTCAACTTAGCAACCAGCATATTGGAAATTTTACAGATAAAAAGTTCCAACATATAAGTTCAGCTGTTAAACAAAAACTTAAATTTAATTATAAGAAAACAGTAAGACAAGAAAACTGAGAACATAACTCTTTATCACAAAGAAAAAAAAAAGAATTTTTGAATCAGTGTAATATAAAATGAATAGTCAATTTGGGACACAGACTGAAAGACAAGTCAGAAACAGTAGTTGAATAAACTTATTAAGGTAGGGCACAGACTTATTTAACTGGCAAGTGAATAGTCATAAATGTTTATCGGCCTATGCTTAACGCTTTAAGTAGCAGAAGAATGGTCCACAGATGGAAAAGTAGTTAACTTGTCCTTTTCTGATGATATTGAATATTTGAATGTTCAAACTAATTTTGATATGTTTAGTCTTTTATCAAGCACAATGATGAAGAATATTCTAAATATACAAGTACAATGCCAAAGTTAAAATGCAAGAACACCACAACTAAAAAAAATATTCAACAACAATAAATTTTACCACAAGAAAAGGTGAGAGACAATATCTAACTTATTACCCTTATCCTGTATCCCCTGGATTTCTGACGGTATTTTGGTGTTCGGGAGACAACACCTCCAGATTTCTGTAGTTTTACTACATCAACCTTGGGCTTGGTTTTCAGCACATCTTTAAGCATACTACAAAGCTTTTCCTGCATAAAATATAAAGAATTAAGATTATAGTATGCCATAAGTTATGGGCAACTAACCAAGTGGTCCAATAATACTATACTAGAGTACTAGATCACAGAATCTACGTCTGATGGTAAAATTAGAGAGCCGCAAGATCACTTCTAAGACTAAGATAGGAACACAATTCTCAAATAATTTTGAGAGTTCATATCTAAATTAGATTTACACAAAAAAGGGACCTCATCCAAGTTAGTGTAAAAACACATCTGGTCTACCTGGCCCAAATAAATTGAAGTAAAAACACGGGTTACAGTAACACATACCTGGCCCAAAACCAATACAACATCTGCATTAAACATATCTATAGCATGAAGAAGCAGCTGCAAAAGGACAAAGGATTCAGAGTACACTATGGGAAACATTCAATACGTAAGAGACTGTTAATGAATTGTCCACAAGCATGAAAAAGCTCCAGAAGCATTAGACATCACACCTCATAGCCTACTCCTTCTACCCAACCCATTGTATTGATCACCATACCAGCAGCTCGTGATTCAGAATTACCAGAAAATTGTTTTTCAAGTGTCTGAGCAAGTTCTTTCACAGCTAATTTATATAAATCTACATTAGCACTGCAAAACAGCTCAAAAACAAAGGTTATAGCAAATACAATGTTAATGAAAGCTGTGATAATCTATAAAATATAACAGTATAGCCACAAAAAATAAATTTAGAAGTCCAAACACAATTACCTGGGACTTGTATGTCCATAAAAGTAAACCAAAGGCATTTCAAGAGGAATTCCTTCCACTGGATCAATGGGCATCTCAATTGGAGTTGCTGCAATTGACCCAGGTACTGTTATACTTCCCTGGCCTATATCCAAATCCACAAAAGTAGGCTTCCAGCCCTGCTTGGCTCCCCAGCTAAGAAGCATCCTTGACAAAGTACTCTTTCCAGAGCCAGTGGGACCCACCACAATAACCCTGGGACCCTGAAAAAACGCCATCTGTTAGAAGATATTACAAAAACAGGCAAGTCTACAGAGCCTGTATGTTACAAGTTATCTTCTGCTCAAGTGGGAAGGACTATGGAAGCATAAATAGAGCATAATGAAGATGTAACAGCTTTCTTATAGACCTAGAAAACCTGACCTGGCCATAGCCTGAAACTGGATGACACTAATTTGACCCAAACTAAAATCAACTGTACTGGAACCAAGGTGACCCAAATATATTATGACAAATGATAAAATCAATATGTATTTAACTTACAATATCTTAAATATCGGCCAGATTCCAACCCAACCTTAACCTAAATTGTATGGCTGATCACCCCAATAGGACTGAAACCAAACCCATTCAGATAGTTATCTCCATAAAGTAACAAAAGAAAGATTAAAACCAATTTTGTCGCATTTTGTCTACCACCAAAGTATTTACAAATAAAAAGTCCAAACAAGTAGTTTCTTAAAATTAAACACTTTTTTTTGAGCCATTGAAAATAAAAACTTAACCATTAATACACAATATGAAAATTCCAACCACACAAGATTTAACAAGGTATATGTAGAAGAATCGATGCCTTGCACAAGCAACAAGTTCATTACTAGAAGCGAGTAAAAGAAACACTTTTGTTACCCCAAAGAAGACACACTCCTACCTCTACTAACTTTCCATTATCTTTTGTTTGTGATGTTTCTAATCAATCAAAGCCTTAATCCCATAAGTGGGGTCGGCTACATGAACCAAATTTGATTATTCCATGTAGTCATCGACCAAAATCTTCCTCCTCCATCCCTTACGATCCAATGCCTCATCCTCATGTAAATCCATATACTTCATATCCTTCCTAACTCCTTCCAACCAAGTCATTTTCGGTCTCCCTCTCCCTCGCTTAACCGTTGTTCATTTGTGATATTTCTAATAAAGAATTTATATTTTTCAATGTGTACATCAGTAAATGACAAGGAGAGCTATTGCCAGAAGACGAAAAACTAAGAGGAGAAAAAAATCTAAAAGGCATAATATATTGATCCACAAGAAACAAGCTATACTGCCAACATTCCCAAAGGCTGAAGATAACTTCTAACCTTATATTTTTTTCCTTTGATGTTTTTTGCCTTTTCATTATCATGGAATCCCAAATAAACTTATTAATCTCACACGCATGATTCAAGAGAAAGTCGCCAAGAGTAGGTCAGTGGCATGAGGGGGAAAAATCAAGAAAAAATCAAGTTATACAAATTTTCATCCGTCCCATAATATGAGTACCATATTGATTTGACATATACTTCTTCCGTTCTTTTTTAATTGACACGTTTTGACTTTTGTACTATTAGCAAACTCTCTTTGACTAGCTTTTGAAAATTAAAGTTATAATAAAACATATCCATGTGGGATCTTGTTAGAGCCATTTCAATGTGTATTTTCATAATATCAACTTTTGATAATTTTACTTATTTAATAGTTAGAGATGGTAATTGTTGAGCTTGTGCATTGGTAAACGTAAAATAATAAATTTACGATTACTAGAAAGGCACAAGAGTGTATTGGATATCTTGTTCTACTTAACAAGAATAGAGAGAGCACTGGAAAATTGAATTTAGGGCTAACAATTTTTCTACTTGGTCCTATATAAACATGTTCAAGCAATGAATAAATTTTGGAGTTGGTGGGAGCAGAAAATTCCATGTTTAGGGTTTCCAAATTCTAGCTGATTTAAGTGAAAACAATACCTGAGATGACTCAATATCATTGGAAGAAGATGCCTTAGCTCTATTCCTTCGCGCTTCTAGTATGGCATGAACATTAACATAGCTTATCATTGGCGTCTGAACACAAAACAAAAGCAAGCTTTCACTAAAAGAAATTTCAGGGAAACAACTATCTGGCTTCATTATCAATAAAGGACAAGAATCAACATTCACGAAAACTCCATAAAAAGCTAGCAAGTGGATGAGCATACCTCATCTGCTACATAATCAGATGTATCAGACCCACCATCTATTTCAATTGTGGCTCCATGCCATGTAAAGATCTGGTAATTAAAATGGGGTCAATTATTAGATTGAAGCATTTACACTAAATTACCCTGCAAATCCAATCTCCTAGTGAGCATACAAAATATGTCCTACAAACTATCCTATTTCCTATGGCACAGTTACATGATTAAGAAGTCATGAAAGCCAAATTTAGAACCTGACAGTGCAAGTGGTAAGGGAGAAGAAGGCACTAAAACAATAATTAGTCAAACACCATCCAAGTGCCTAACCACCAAATAGTCTAAATTTCCCATGGTAATAATAATAGAACCTACATCAATGCTTAATAGTTACATACTTCTTGTGCCCATAAGAAAAAAAATTCATTATTCCTTTTTTGGGATATCCACAAAAAAATATTCAGGTTAAAATGGAAATATAATACGCTCAATCCATGCAATGTAGATCCCAGCAACTCCCTATCTCCACACTCTCTCTCTCTCTCCCTCTCTCTCTCTCTTCTCCATATTCCATCTAATGTGGACCCTCTCAAACACTAGCTAACTTTCAATAAATTTGTTTATTCTTATTTCTCCACTATCTACCAAAAAACCAACCACACCCTACTAAAATGTCTAAAAACCATCACTATGCATGCTCACACCGACCAAAAAATTATTTGTGGGCAGAGAGGAGTTCAAATAACATTACGATAGTGATATTTACTTCAAGACAAAGCTAGCTACTAGCAAAAACTAGCCAAGTGAAGCAGATGTGAATGGTTTCCAATTTTCCACTGTCTCAAGTTCTACAAGAGGCATAATGTGGGTGGAAATTCTGCTCTTCCATCCATGCTTACGCCTACATTAGTCTGGGTAACATAATTTCGGATTCAAAATCTTGCATCTACTCAGCATTCTGTCCATTAATCAACTAACATGCACATAAACATGTTTGGCAAAAACAACTCCTCGTTGAAATATGTCATATTGCCATTCTTGTGGTTCTACTCCTTGCTTAAGATGTTATTATTTATAATTTCTTGTAAATCCATTCGAGTATCCAACAATGATCAAAATAAGCACACACATGTTGACAGAAGAGGATTCAATTTTGATTTTGCAACTCAAAAATTAAAATTCAAAGACTTGTAATATACCGCAAATTTAAGGCGTGGAGGAAAATTGAGCCAAATTTCTGGAGGAATTTCTGTACCATATATCTCTGCATAGCCATTTAGCAACCGAAGGCGAAGAGGCGAATTCTCACCCACCTCTATTCGCAATTCACATTCTCTCTCCAACTTCACTTGTCTTGGTGGAGTGGCCCGTCCCTGAGCCGGGGCAGGAGGTGCAGCCGCCCTCGGCCCGGGGAGAAATGGTGCATTTTCATAGTTCCGTCCTAACATTAAACAAAACCCTGCAACAAATTACAACCAAATTTGACTCATTTATCAAAACAGGCTCACGTTAAATTTATTCTCACTTGAGAATATGAATAGCAAAATTCTGGCAACAAAATTTCTCATTTTAATCATTCATAAATTCAGTAATTACAACCAATAGTCTAATTATCCACCATATAAGAACCCTAAATTGATTATACTGACAATCAAATAGTAATCGATTAATACTAGTTTGAAATAATAAAATAAAGAGTAAACCTTACCTTAGAAGCTGCTCCAATGGAGGAAAGAAAGCTCAAAAGCCGCTTCAATGGCGGATTCGGAGTACGCTTCAGTGAAGGAGGGAGCTCACAAGTCACAAGTCACAAGTCACAAGTAACAAGGAGAGCGTAAACGTCTAAAGACGAAAAGCTAAAGCTCCAAAGGGGGTAAATATAATTGTAGAAGGAGAATCACTTACACGCGCATAATGTCTATAATAGAGGAGTCTAGGGGTGAGGAAAAATATCGGGGAATTGAAATTGAAATTGAAATTGGAATCGGAATTGGAATTGAGAAATCGGGAGGATTTTTTGGACTCTAATGGATAGAGTCTAATAAGGGCAAGATTGTCAATTCATAAAAAGACAACTTGGCATAAAATAAAAGGGAAAAGCAAAAAAAAATTGGGGAAAAGGACAGCTCATTTATTTGTGAAGTGAAAAACAAAAAACGATTTCTCTAAATAGAAATCCCTGCAACATTGAGGTCTCTGCTCTCATTTCCTCTAAATCCAAATCCAATCCAAATTTGAGAGTAAGTCGTCGGAGATCTATAAATTTGAGAGAGAGTGAGTGAAATTTTAGAGAGGGAAACTACTAGGAAAGAGAGAGTGAAACTTTTTTTATAAATAAGCGGTCCTTTTCCCCATTTTTGTTTTAGCTTTAATGAGCTACTTGTTTTGGGTTTTTTTTGGAATCCCTCAGGATACAGTTCTTGAATATAGCCGGACGGTCGCAAATACTTGCAAAACAACGAATATTCCGTCAAGTTATCCATCAAACGGAATATTCGCCTCCGACGATCAAGTTAGTGATCGGGAAACGAATTAATTTAGAGAGAGAAAGTAGAGAGAAGTTGAAGAAAATTGCTTATGCAATAAATGAGATGTCTCTATCCACCCCTCCTATCAGAAATGATTTGGGTATTTATAGGGTTTGGTGACCTAGAATGGTGTACTCTGATTGGCAACGCAATCAGGTAAGGACAAGTGTCTTTTGGGGGCACCATTTTAGCGCCTTTCTCAGGATTTGAGTCTCTTGATGTAAGGAGGCCTTTTTCTCATTCAGGTGCTCTCTTGTTTGCCACGTGTTATCTTCCTATTAGGACATGTGTCGTCCTGTTATTGGGCCACATGTCTCTATAGGATTAGATCACGTGTTAGGGATATTTTTACCCTAAACATTTGTCCCTTAGAGGGGGTGGCTCGTACCATACGGGCCGCCTCCTCTGATCTTCAATCGTCCAGGGTCGTTCGAATATGGGGCTGATGGAGTATTGTAGGCGGATTGTACCGTCTATCTGGTCATGGGATTATCCCTTTGGGCTAAATGCCTTAGTCGGTCCGCCTTATTTCATTGGTGGACTTAAGTCTTGAAATCAGTCGGACGGATGGTGCCGCCTGATGTCAGGTAGGACACCTGTTCAGTATTTCTCGGGGCAATGGCTTGAAGTTGATGACCTGGCCGTCTATTTTGACGCGCCGTTTGGGCAACCGTATGTCTTATCGTCTAAATTGACGGAAAGATTAAATTAACCATTTGGGCTTCTAGGTTAATTTTTTCAAAAAAAAACAATTGTTTGAGCTTTTAGGCGGGAAAAGCGATTTTACCATTTTACCCCCATAAATTTGCCTATAAATAAGACTTGTTTGACTTTATTTTGTCAATTTGGAACTTAGCGAATTTTAGAGAGAGGTCAGAGCTTTTTAGAGAGAGAAAATGTTTTTCCCTCACATTATCAAGAGCTCCGTCGTGTCTTAGAACTTTCCGTTCGAGTTTGTTGAGTTTTCCGGTCAACCTCAAGATCTTCAAAGTCTTCCAAAGTTTTCTACTCGTACAGAGGTAACCGTCTGATTTTCTTTATTTTTTCCATTTTTCATACTTGTTTTATTTTTTAAACACGAACTAGCACAATTCGTCCGTTTCTCCTTATGAGGTCGGTCGTTCGCCTGGGATTGAGGAGTCTAGAATGGACGGAGACGACTCCTCCTCTCTTGGAGTGGGTCCATTTGTAGTGCGTACCAACTCACCCCGACCTATTCTTCTCTATCCCTACAGTCGAGTATGACACGTACGAGACAAACGTACGAGCGGGGTGCCCCTAGAAATTCGGACGACGGTATGGTGGATCCCTTAGTTTCTTTTGACCCAAGTAACACGAACGGGGAAAGTACAAGCGCCACAGTTAGTGGTAGTGCCTATTCTGTGGTGGAGGTGACCGCCTCTTTTTCTGAGCGACAAGCTCAGCAAGGCTCTTATAGGGAGGCGTCTGGGCAAAATCCAGTACAACGCCTCTCCCAATATACCAGCTCGGTCCTGAAAGGCATCCTTCGACAAATCAGGCCGAGGGGGATCGTCCGACCAAAAATCCCCAACAACCCTAAATCCAAACTACCAGGTCGGCTAGGCCTAGAACAAGAATTCATATCTTTGAGCCGTCCGACCTGGCCCCTCGCAGTGCTCCTCCTTCGAGAAACCAGACGGACGCTGGAGGGAAGAAAGATTAGGGTAAGTAACCCTTGGTGCCTGAGGGCATCATTGTTACTGAAGCCGGCCAGGGCTCCTTGGGAAGGAGCTCGCCCAAGGCTGCTACCTTGGACACAGTGTTGTCCTCTGAGTTCGGCTCGGCCAGGGCCCCAAAACCCCAGACCGCCAAACAATAAGCTGAGAATTCGGACGTCGGTCAGGCGGTCGAAGAGGCTAATGCTGAAAATATCAAGGACCCATACGCCTGTACAATCGGCGACGTTGCCCTTGGCTTCTTACACCATAAATTTGAGGAGAGAACTCCTCCTGCTTGGAGAAGGTTACCAGATCGTGGCGCCGAGCCGCTCATACTCAATGGCCGCCTAGGAAGGTAAAAGGCAATGGAAGAAATGCTTCAGCGTCTACCGTGTCGCCTTGGAAGTGGGCCTTCGCTTCCCCTTACATCCATTCGTCCAGGCTTTGCTGGACGAATACCACATTGCAATTTTCCAGCTGGTGCCGAACAGCTGGGTAAACATTTTTGGCTATCTGGTGACGTGCCTTCGTCAAGGCTTCAAGCCGGACGTCCTAATTTTTTGTGAGATACACTCAATGGTCCGGCTGGATTCTGAGATTGACGATTGGTTTATTCTGAGCACCTAGAAAGAGTATTTGGTGGTTCTGCACAGGTCCTCCAAGTGGCACGACTGGAAGCACCGATTCTACCACATCAGAACTGACAACGAAGAATTCAACCTGCGAAATCGCTTCAACACCGAGCCTATCCAGCTCGGACGTGGGATGCACAAAGCCACTAAGCCGCCTGTCCAGCTTGACAACGATTTTCAACTTGACTATTTTAGGGTCAAGAAGGTGGTTAGGAATGGGAAGTCTGTGGTCGTGCCATCTAATTGAATCCAATTGGCCGACTGGCTTAGGAACTCGGTATCATGTTGGCCTGCGGCCTATGCCGAAACTACCCTTAAGGTGGAATGATAGGGTCGTAAAAGTTAATCAAATCATAATAATGATTGCCCTTGGATTAGGCAATTGCCGAATGAATTATGCGGCCGTTTGATTATTGGCTTTTGCCGAGTTGTCCTTTCACATTATCTCTCGGACGTACTCATGAAATTTCGAGTATTATCTCAACTTAAAATTTCTAAGTGTTTATAGGGCTTGATAGCCTAGGTATGCCTTTGCCCTTAAGGTTAAATTGCATTAGACAAATTTTAGGCTACCGTCTTTCTTAACCATTCGACCAGATTTCTGGCCGAACGGTCTTAATGACAACCTGTCCATTATGGCCGAGTTGCTTTGCTAGAAGAAACCTTGGTTAGGCATTTTTCCCGGCCATTCAACCCTGCACTTGTTAATGGCCGAGCTGCTATGTTGCAAACAACCCTTATTCCCGTTTTTAGGCGGCAACACAGTATATATGCAAAAAGTTTAATAACAATGTTTGACTTTTTCATTAATATTGTCAAAATTACATTGTTTGGCCGTACAAATTTAATTACATAGCCCGGTCATCAGACCTAGTTGTATATACAACTTTAAGGCTAAATACAAAAAACTTTATACATGGTATTTCTTGAGATTATCCGTATTCCACGTACAAGGAATAGGATGGCCATCCAAGGCTTCGAGACGGTAAGTACCATCTCGTACATCTTTCCACTTAATTCCTCGGATGGCCTCAGCCTCCACCCACTTCGTGAAGTAGTCAACAGCTACTAACACGTACCGTCGCTGCCCTGATGCAGGAGTATACGGCCCCAAGATGTCCATGCCCCTTTTTGCAAAGGGAAGTGGACTACTTATGGCCAACAAGCTATTTTCCGGACGATGAATGAGGGTTGCAAATCTCTGGAACTTGTCACATTTTTTAACCATCTTTATGGCATCCGAATTCAAACTCGGCCAGTAATACCCCAGGTGGGTTACCTTTTCAGCTAAGGCTCGTCCACCTATATGTGATCCGCAATGCCCCTGGTGGAGGTCGTCCAGTACTTCATGCCCCCCCTCGGGCGTAACACACTTCAAGTATGGCTTTACAAATGATTTCTTAAACAAGCTCTCACCCTTCATCTCAAACCATGCAGCCTTTTTCTTCATCACCCAACTCTCCGTTGGGTCATCCGGAAGAACCCCATCTTTGAGATAGGAGATTATTCCATCTATCCATGTGGAGCTTCGGTCAATTACTTGCACAGGCTCGACATCAATGCTCCACTTCTTTTTAACTTCCCAGAACACGGATCTCGGAGTATCACATGATGTCGAGGAGGCTAGCTTGGACAGAGATTCCGCTTGATGATTCTCGGACCGGGGAACTTGCTACGGCATGAAATGCTCTAGGCCCTTGGCCTCATCCTTCACCATTTGTAAATATTTCATCATTGTCGGCTCTCTAGCCTCGTAGTCACCATTCACTTGGCTAACTATCAGCTGAGAGTCCGAGCAAGCATCAATTTTTGTTGCCCCGGTGTAGACACCTGATTGTGTCTCCCTAAAAACTAAACCCAGTGATGAGTACCTTTCACGTCTTTGATTATCAAGTTAGGTGAAGAGTTGCAGAGTCTTGTGAATTTCTTTATAAGTCTTGACCATTTTAACCTTTCCTAAAATGTTTTTAGCCAAACTCATTTATTTCGTGCCTTTAAAGTCAAAATAATTCATTTCGTGTCTTTGAAAATCATTCATTTCATGTCATCTTTATAAAAACTTCCAATCCAGTTTATTTGGTCCATAATCTGGGTCCAATAATTGTGTAGTTGGATGGGGCTTGAAAAGATCTTTCCAACGATTTATTATAAGCCCAAATCCGGGTTATAACGAGGAAGTTATGACCAAAATACTAAATTGGGGCCAAATCGAGCATTATCTACTGACCCAATGATCATGTAGAGGGTCCATTAACCTTTAACATCATTCCTAAAACCCTTAGGATTTATTATTAACTTCTAGAATCCTCTAGAAGGTTCTAATTTATCCTGTTTTAAAAAGATAAAAACTATGAATTTTATATCGGATAAAACACTTGTTTTTAAAAGATTTAATTCTGATAAAATAAGGATAAGTACGGATTTTCGACTAACCCAATTTGATTAGAAGTCGAATTCCGTACGTTCTGAAAAGCATCGCGATGCTTATACCATGCTTAGAATATTATTTTAAGTTCTAGTATCATGTTAGGATGCTTAACTAATATTTCTAATGTTATCATGGTTCCTAGTATCATGTTAGGATTATTCTTAATTCCTAGTATCATGTTAGGATGCTTTTGTGATTTCTAGTATCGTTTTAGGGTGTTATTTAATATTCCTAATATCATGTTGCTTTCTAGTATCATGTTTAGGCTAAAGCTTTGATTTTTATTATTTTGTGACATGTTAGGGTCTGTTATTAACCCGTTTAGTATCATGCCTAGGATCTTGCTAATATTATTTTGGAGATATTGATTTGTTGTGTTAGTTATAATTATTATGTTGCTTGATTATTTATTATTTATTGTTATTGCTTGATTATTTGATTATGAGAGATAGAGAGATGAGAGATGAAGATGATTAAATGTAAGATGAAGGAGGAGAGAGAAAGATAATGGGGAGGGGAATTGAGAGATAATCTGATTATTTGGGCGGGAAGATTTAGATAATTAATTCAGATTAGGGATATAAAAAGTTGTAATTATGTGGTAATAATTTTTAAATGAGGGTATTTTGGTCATTTTAACAGAAAAAAGTTACTTAAATAGGAAAGAATTAAGTTTGTTGCACATAATAGGTAGCTTCCGTTTTTGACAAATGTTGCACATTATAGTTAACGGAGGTAGTATAAAAAGTACAATTGCACATAAAAAAAGTAAGGACAATTGAGTATTTTAATTGTAAAGCAAGGTAATGAGTCCATCATTTATGACTAAAATAGAAAAAAAATACTAAATTTAAAGAATAAAAAGAAACACCTTAAAATAAGCCCTATTCCAAATGCACCCAAATAAAGCTCCGGGGCCTGAAGGTATGCACGTTTTATTTTTTCAGAAATTTTGGCATGTTGTTGGGTCTGATATTATTGCTTATGTTCAGAATTGGTGGAAAGAGAATGTTGATCTTGCAGAGATAATAACACTTGTATTGTGCTTATTCCGAAGTGTGAGAAACCATCTCTGATTTTCAGAATTCAAACCAATTAGCTACTGCAATGTCATTTATAAAATCATCTCTTAGGTGCTTGCGAATAAGTTAAAAAAAATTTAGGGGATATTATTTCTCCAAATCAAAGCGCTTTCATCTCGTAGAGGCTTATAACTGACAATGCCATTGTAGCATTCGAAATTTTTCATACTATGGAGAGAGGTAATGAAGGAAAGGATGGTAACGTTGCTCTAAAACTTGATATGAGCAAAATGTATGATAGAATGATGATTAAACTAGGGTTCTCGAGTAATTGGATTCATCGGATTATGTGTTGTCTTAATAACGTCTCCTTTACTTTTAAGATAAATGGGAAAATTTCGGGGTCTGTGGTCCCGGCTAGAGGATTATTTGAGGGTGATCCGATTTCTCCGTACTTGTTTCTGTTATGTGCGGATGCTTTTTTCGACTCTGATTTCAAAGGCGGCTAATGGTAATCTAATTCATGGTGCTAGAATTTGCAGAAACGCTCCCAGAGTATCTCATTTATTTTTTGCAGATGACAGTATATTTTTTGCTAGAGCAAATGTGAAAGAATGCTCGGTTATAACTGATATAATTAGCAAATATGAGAGGGCTTCGGGTCAGAATGTCAATCTAAGCAAAACTGAAGTTGTTTTTAGCAAAAAAGTATGTCCGAACCGGAGGCAGGAAATTATTGATATTTATTTAATTATTTGTATTTTTCAACAAATTTATATATAATCGGTACTCGGAACCGGTTTCGATACCCGATGCTTCCAATTCCAATTCCAAAGTTTTAGGAAGCAATTGTGTCCAATTAGTTGTTAGGTACTTGGGTAGTATGTTGTATTATATTAATTTTTTTGGTTAAAAAATGTAGAAATTAGCGAGTGTGGGCAGGTATTGATATCCAAGTGGGGAGGGGGGGTAGGGTAGGGATGGAGTAGGTCATGTACCTACCATGGGTGGTAGGTGTGGATGAGTATAAGATTTTTAGGTGGGGATGATTGTGGGGGTACCATTCGCCTTCGACTTGTCCCATTGACATCCCTAACTTATTCTTCTTAAAATAAATTAGGCAAACAATATTCAATTCAGACTAGATTAAAATGTGTAATTCCCGTTCACTTATTACTAGAATCTTTCATTGCGTAAAAAAAATTATGAAAAGTATTTGAAAAATACACGATGAGACGAGCTTAACAAGATCCAATTAGATACTATAATAATAATTTTTTCTTGAAAATCAGTGTTAAAATATGGTCATAGTTTTGTCAAATAGATACATTAGAACACCGACACCTTCATCTTCGATCTTCGCCTCCACCAACACCGACTTCATCATTTTCGATGGCGAATCGAAAACCTAAAGTAAAAATGAAGAAATAAAGGATATGGTTAACTATAAAAGGTAGGTGAGCTTTCCTTCCTCTATCCATTTCTCCATTAAAATTGAGCTTTTCCCTCTACCATTGAAGACGAACTTGAATTTCTCCATTAATGTGTTCGGTGAACAAACACCAATTAGGCACAAAACTCATAACTTAAGAATTGATTTTTTTTTTTCTATATTATGAAATCACAAATATCTAGTCATTATATTTACAAAATTGCCATTTGAGAGTTGTTTATCAAGGTTGTATGTTCTCAAATGTATTAGGGTCAAAGTGTTAAGAGTGTTTGTCAAAAAATATTCTCCATTAATGTGTAGAGAGTAATTCCAAAAATTGAAAAATGTTTAGTGGAGATGCGGGGTATCGATCCCCGTACCTCTCGCATGCTAAGCGAGCGCTCTACCATCTGAGCTACATCCCCATGTTATAAACATTTTCTCTTCTTAAAATATAATCTGTAAAAAAAAAACTAGACGTTTCCACCATTTTTAACTCTTCAAAAAGCTCGCAAATCATCTTCTTCCTCCTCTTCTTCTTCTTTGTCGAATAAAAATGCTGAGAAGAGCACTGAAACTCCGCCCTTTTCTCTCTCCTCACCCTTCATCATCTTTCTCTCACCTCTTCTCATCATCTTCATCTTCTTCTTCATCATCACCTTCTCTAAATTCATCTGGGACTTTCGTCGAACATGTTGCGGGCAATCCTAATGAAAGCCTTTCAACTTCAAACCCCACTATTTCCATTGATCGTTCTGGTCTTTGCAACCCTCCTGGTACTAATTTTTTCATTGTTTTTAATTATTATGTTTTGTTTTAGTTTGTATTTGGTTTTGAATTTAATTTTTGTAGTTGGGTTTGTGTTGATTTGCAATGGAATTTGTGTGTGGCAGAGCATTCTCATGAACCAACCTCGGATTCTGAGCTTGTTAAGCATCTAAAAAGCATAATTAAGGTTACCCATTTTCTCTTTCTTTGTTTTTTATATTGATTGATATTAGTCTTGCTACTCAGTATTTTCCAGAATGTAATTTATGTTAGCAAATGTGTGCTTCCTTGTTGTTTTTGATGTATAAGAACGCACAGCGGATAGTGATGTAGACGGGATTTGATCTTGAGTTTTTTGTGTAATACCGTATCACCTCATGGCCTCCTTATAGTATAATTAGCTATGTAAGTTGGCATCCTCTAAAGTGTGCTTTCTTGTGATCTATTTAACTTACTGTGGTTTGAGAAAAATTTGGATTTTGTACTCAGTTATTTTTGTGTGATTTGAAGAGTCCGTTCACAGATAGGTAGGTGTGTATTTTTGTGTTTAATGGGAAGATTGAACAAAGAAATGATAATCAAGATCCTGAAGCTGTTCCATTACTATATGCATTAGAATGCAAGAACTGTTTGAGAGGATTTTCCCATAAAATTATTTCATTGAGTACTTTGCGATTTATTTTTTGTTGTCTTTCGGTCTAAGGAATTACTGTTTTTGCTATGAAGAGTTGATTTACTTTGTGCTAAAGCTAATATTGGAAATGGGCTTCTTAGTGTAGTACTTCATCAATGAGCTTACTTGCTCAGTGATAAAAAGAAAAAAAAAGTTTACAGTAGGAGAGCAGGAATATTGAAACTAAAATCAGTGCGAAAAGATAGCTTGTCAAATGTCAATAACATTGAGCATGACTATGACGATTATGGGAAATCCTGAAATTGTCATTTCTCTTTGCAGCTCGCAATTTTTCGCCAACCCGTTGATTAACCGTATAAACTGAATGTCAAGTATATCTCATCATCTTCTCTCTCCCACATAAAATTAATTATACCTGTAACTCTGTATGTGCCCTAAAATGAAAACCAACAATTCGTTACAAGTCTTGCACTGCTGATAATTACATGCCTGCCACGGATAAACTTTTACTGAGAATGGGTTGAACTGAAAAAATTAGTCCTGTGAGTCAGTTACACTTCACATGTTCAATCAACTGCGGCTTTATTGAAGTTAAATGCATATTCATTTTACAATTCCGCTTTGTAGTTTCGTGGAGGTCCTATCTCCGTGGCTGAGTACATGGAGGAAGTTCTTACGAATCCAAAGGCTGGATTCTACATAAATCGTGATGTATTTGGAGCAGAAGGTGATTTTGTTACTTCTCCTGAAGTGAGCCAGATGTTTGGGGAGGTACCTCAATAATCATACTCATTTTTGCAAATGCTAGATATCCTGATGCATCATGAGTGCACTGTCTCGTTGACTACATTCATGCAAGTTTGATTGATAAGTATTTTGATCATCTTGTATCACTGCTTATAGATGGTTGGTGTATGGGCCATGTGTCTTTGGGAGCAAATGGGCCGACCTAGTAAGGTTAATTTAGTGGAGCTTGGTCCAGGAAGGGGAACTCTTATGGTTGATCTTCTTCGAGTAAGTCCATGTTAGCATTGCCCTCTTAAAATTCTAATCTGTGGTCAAGCATCCTGGAGAAGATTAATTTAGAAATTTCAGCAGAATTTAGTAATGAAGCACTGTAATTTATGCATGTAGGGTGCATCCAAGTTCAAGAATTTCACAGAATCTCTACACATACATTTAGTTGAGTGCAGTCCAACTCTGAAGGAACTACAGCACCGCAATTTGAAGTGTTTGGATGCAGATGATACGTCATCAAGCGGAGAGAAGAAGACAGTTAGCCAAATAGCTGGAACCCCTGTAGCATGGCATGCTGCTTTTGAGCAGGTTCCATCAGGAGGTACAGATCTTATGCTATTATTTATTTATGTCTATCTATCTATCTATCTATTTATTTATATTTATATATACCTTTTGATATATATTTATGATATATCTACCCATAGATCTGGCCTTTCAAATTTTGACCTTTTGATACTGTATTAAAATTAATTGCCGCTTTTTTGGTTTCATGAGCTTATATTATTCTTCTTTGTTTGTGTCAAACTGGGATGTAAATCCATTTAGGTGAACATCGCAATAGTATTATAGATGGATCTTCTGGATGCATTAATTTTGTTATTCTAGAAAGCATGTACACAGACTTGACTGAGTTATTATATTTGAGATGAAATTTGATTTACTCCGAGGTGTTTGAATGCAAGATAGGTAGTTAACGGGATGCAGTATGAGGTCAAATTAATAAAGAGCAATTTGGTCATTGTTAGGATGATAACCCACATGTGAGTTGGGATTAATTGTCCCAAATTGAAGAAACAAAGGGCGAATGACTAACAGATTAGGTTGATGGGCAATCCACCTATCAATATTTAATTAATAATGGAAGCTTGCTAAACTTATATGGGCTCAGAGAAGTGTTAGGAATAAAACCCTCATGTGTATAAGTCTCACAGTACAAATAAAGGGAGAATGATTAACATATAAGATTGGTGGGCTACTTTACTTATAACCAATTGGTTTTATTTTGGAATCCAGATGAGCTAATCGTTGAAGAGCTTTATGCCTTTTAAAAACGAATAGTAGTAATGATGTGTCTATTCTTTATTTTTTATAATCTTTAATGGGCGTTAAAACCTTTGTATTCTAGTTTCGATTTGTTTAATAATACTTATGGCAGGAAACACAATGAGCAAAAATGAAATTTATAGTAACTTAGATCCCACGTTTCTTCTTTTTTCATGATTGAGAAAATAGTATAAATTCTTGGAAAAACTGAAACAAAAAATCTCACCTTTGCCTCATCTTCTCAAAACAATCCCACCTTTATCCCCCATTTTCCCAAAACAGTCCCTTGACTTGTTTCTTAAGTTGGTAACTGTTTAACGGGGGTGTTATGCCACATGTAATTTTTTTTTAATTGGTTTTTTTTAATATTAAAAAAAAAAACCAGTCCCCTCCTGTTCTTCTACCCTCTTCCCCCACCTGATTTAGCCCTACGGCCCTACCCCATTCCCGGTCCTGTTTGCCGGAGCCAACCATACCCCTGTCTCCGAATTCTCCTTCCCTTACCCTCATTGACATCGGCATCGAGGTTTTTTTTTAACTAAGCCTGCAAATTCTATGGAGGGGTGGAGTTTAGGCAGGATTTGGATGGGGGTGCGGTTCGATTCAGAGGTGAAAAACCCTGAAACCCTAGCCACCACTACCAACCCCGAAACCCCACCTAACCACGACGAAACCCCCTATCATGTCAGAAAACCCCTAATAACCACCTCGAAATCCTAACCCCGACCCCTGAAAAACCCTTACCCACACCAGAAAACCCCTTACCACCCCGAAAACCCGACCCCGAATATCCTACCCCTGGCCCTAGCCCCCAACCCCTACCCATGCCGGAAAACCCTAGCCACCACCCAAAACACCAACCCCTGAAACACCCAACCCCACCACGAAAACTCTCTAGCCACCCTTGAAACACCCACCCCCAACCCATTAGAGCCCCCCTCATCTCCCTTTTTTGTTTTCGCTGCTCAACATCATCACCATCACCATCACCATCATCATCACCATCACCATCATCATCACCATCAGACATCAACATTTTCAACATTTGGCTGCTCTGATTCAATTTTAAATCAGAAGGAGAAGACGGGGGTGGGTTGTCCAGATTGGCGGAGGCAGGGATGGGGAGGGGAAGGGGAAAGGGGCGGCGCAGGGTGGGCAAGGGGTGGCATGTGGGGTTTTCGTTGGGGGCTTTGTTTTTTTATTTTTATTTTTTTTTAAAAAAATAAAAATAAAATTAACCTTTTAAAAGTCAACACGTGGCATATCACCTAAGAAAACCGGTCACCAACAAGTCAGGGTTAAAAGAAGATCTCTGTCAAAGGTGGGATTATTTTGGAATAATCGAAAGGTGGGATTGTTTTGGGAAGATCGAGCAAAGGTGAGATTATTTATTTTTATTTTTCCAAAAAAATATTTATAACTTGTTAAACAGGTTTTAGGTAAACGAGACTGTTTTGGGATTATAGGGGTTGAAGGTGGGGATTGTTTCCAGATTACTCGAAGGTGAGATAATTTTGAGTAGAAGTGACAAAGGTGGAATTATTCATTTCAATTTTCCCTTAATTCTGTTCTAGGATGATTAAAATGTTGTGATAGGGTAGACATGGTGAACAACTGAACATGTACCATTATCTTTAAGGCAAATGTTAGTTTTGCATCTACCTCCCCTTTATCCTTATAAAGCTCTATTCGTTTGCTTTGATGTGAAGATATCTGATAGTTCTAGGAACTAGGAAGTAACATGGATGGATGAAAGAGGGCAGGTGTGGGGGGGGGGGTTGTAATGAGTATGGCATTAAACTTGTCTTCCTACCTTTGTAATGTCTTTACCTTTCTAAGCTTTTGATGAATTAGTTAGGAGACTAGGTGGGAGTATGCAAAATGGACCGGAACCGAAATTTCGATTTTGGACTAATGAATAGCCTTATTTTTAGGACTTTTGTGGTCTGTGGTAGATGAAGAGATGAAGGCTCATCTTGTTAGTTGGGAATTGGTGTGCAGATATAAGGAGAGCTAGTTTGGGTTTTAGTGATTTATAACTTGTGTAGTAGGGGAAGTGGTTTTGGTGCTTCTTATAGAGCCATGCTCCTATGGCACATAGTGATTTTGAGTAGTTCTTGGAGGAATAGCTAGGATGTGTTAACATGTTACTCATTCTAGTCATCCGAATTTACTGCATCTGTTCTTTAAATTTTGTAACATTTAGAGTTTCATGCTTGTCAAAGCACAAGTTTAGCCATTAATATCATTAAATTTTATAATTATAAAAAGTTATTGTAAAGTATGTATATCTTGAAGGTTCTAACAAGACCCTATATGATTATGATTTTTCTTAATTATTATTCAAATTTTAATAGTATAAAAACCTAAATGTTGCAATAAAAAAGAACGGAGGATTGAAAGGATTAATGTTTGTGCTGACTTGAATGTAATTTATGACAATCAACAATAACGAAGAGCGAAAACAAGTAAGCAACGAAAACAAGAAAGAGTTTACCGTGGGAACCCGAGTGCCAGGAGAAAGATTGTGTAGCCATTTAGGTTGTGTTATATTTCATATATAGGTTATAAAACCTTGGATTACATGCAATTATAGTTCATACGATATTGGATTACATGCAATATTTTCTTTGTATTACTAAAACTCTTATGACTTCTGTATGTGTAAGAGAGTATTTATTGATGCTTTCAAAGATGTTTGGGAATACATTTAAACAAGAAGATGTAGGCTCAGTTTTCTTACCCAAGTATTTGACTTTATACAGATGTAAAAATAAACTGTGTACATGGATTAGATGTTAGAATATAATTGAAGAAGAGCGACCAGTTCCTATCAATTTATAATCTGAGTGTAAGCTAGATGATTTAAATAAAGCTAAATGGAGCTGAGCATAACATACCAACTTGTCAAAATCTATGATTACCTTGAAGCTCACTGAAGTTCTTTCTGATTGTAAGTGACAATGTGCTTTGTGTGACCTTATCTTTTACTTTTTCTTCAGTTCCAACAATCATCATTGCCCACGAGTTTTATGACGCTTTACCTATTCATCAGTTTCAGGTTGGTTTTGTTACTTCCTGTCATGTTCATTATCTCCTGGTTTGTTGTGGTTCTGTTGTGGTCGATGGCTGAAAGTCCATGGGTCTTTTGAGGATGTAACATTAGGTATGCTTACAGTTATTATGTGCTATTGCGTCAAGTCTAACTTATGAATGATGGTTTTGGAACCCCCTATTTTAGTGCTCTTTACTTCTCTCGTCTCTCTCTCACATACATAAGCGCCAGTTCAAGTCTTCAAGCTTACTATTCAGCTATTCTATATGTAAATGTTTTTTGAGGAATAAATTATGATTTAAGTTTGAATTTATACTTTTTGATTAAAAAAAAAATGTAATGATTTTAATGTAAAGTTGAAAAGAATCAATTTTAATTAATAACAAGATATTTCAATATATATTCTAAATTTTGAATTAGTAGAGAAAGAGAGAGAGTCATCAGGAAGAGATAAAGAGTATCGCCCATGAACGGAGGGCAAAAAAAGATTAATCACCATGTCTAATTTCCATTTCAGAATTGAATGTAACTTCTGCTTTACAAAAGGAGACCAAGGCGACCAAAGCACTTAGTTTTCACTTATTTTATACAGGGGGTTGGGGTGGGGGTGGGGGGGGGGTGGTGCTATTATATGTACTGTCTGGTAGAAATGACAGAAACTAACTGGAAGAGTGTGATATGGTTGTGGATGTAGGATTAAAAATCAAATATATGTCTCAAGAGGCTAGAGGTGTTAAATGCACTTCTGATATTGTAACATACGATTCATTTAAAGACTCGATATAATTTTATCATTATGGGCAAATCCAAAATCTTTGTAGATAGAGCTAATCAGTAGTTCCCAACCTTGGGGCGAATGAAATCCGATACATTGATTACTAAAAAGAATAGAAAAAGCTTTTATTGTGTCGCTTAAGCTGTATAGGAATTCCTGAACCCAAGAGCTAAGAAGAATGAATTCTTTATTTCCCAAAATGAAATAACTGTCTAGAACAGGGAAACAGATTAAATTTGTAGAGAAGTGCAAAATTAAGCTTTCAAATCTGGTGTAATATAGTATTATGGTAATTAGTAACCAATCAAAATTTAGCTGTTATGAGGAAACATGGCTGAAAAGACTCATCTCTTTTGTTTTTGAAGAAGTATGCATGCTGCAGCTGTTAGGGAATTTGTCTAGCATGATTTTCATTACCTTTCTGTCACTTGTGCAGTATGATTGACATTCTTCAAGTTGTTCTTGCTATCTCACTCTTTTTTACTATTCTGAACCATCTGCAATTAGATATTGCTATAAGCAATTTTTTTTTATTTAATTTTGGGCAAATTCTATTCACATTTCTCGTTTAATGTTGAGTTCATCTGCAGAGGGCTTCTCGTGGTTGGTGTGAGAAAATGGTTGACATAGAAGAAGATTCAGCGTAAGACTTCCAGATTTTATGATACTACCAAATGCTTTAGCATTTTTTGAAATTTTAGTTATATGTTGCTCTGTGCATTATTGTTCTTTAGGTTTCGCTTTGTTCTCTCGCCTGCGCCTACACCTGCAACTGTTTTTCTTGCAAAGCGCTGCAAGTGGGCTGTGAAAGAGGAAGTAGACAAGCTTAATCAAATTGAGATTTGCCCACAGGCAATGGAGCTGACTGAATCCATTTCTAAAAGAATAAGCTCTGATGGCGGTGGAGCACTTATCATAGACTATGGTCTGAATGGAATAGTTTCTGATAGTCTTCAGGTGCTAATCTCTGTAGCCACATTATGATAAGTATTATCTAACTGATTTCTTATCGGTTCTTAGCCATGTATGATGACCACATTTCATTCTTTGTGCTTCTTTACTTCTTTTAGTTTGATGACCAGTACATTAAGATCTACTTCGTATAAACCTTTATTTTGGACCGCATACCATTATTAGGATAGCTTCTAGTTTTTTTTAATGAATAGTCTCTGATAGTCTTCAGGTGCTAATCTCTGTAGCCACATTATGATAAGTATTATCTAACTGATTTCTTATCGGTTCTTAGCCATGTATGATGACCACATTTCATTCTTTGTGCTTCTTTACTTCTTTTAGTTTGATGACCAGTACATTAAGATCTACTTCGTATAAACCTTTATTTTGGACCACATACCATTATTAGGATAGCTTCTAGTTTTTTTTAATGAATATCCAAGGTTGGCTTGGCCCTTGTTATGGTCTTATGGTTAGCCTTTGAGTTAGATTGAACGTTTGATGGTTTCAAACTTGGGAATTATGCAGTCTGCATGAATTTATGGTGTGTTGTAAAAACGTGATTCTTTGCTGGAATTCATCACACTTTTAACTTGAAATATTATAAATCTTGTGAAGTTCTAAGGTGGAGCAACAACATTTGCCTAGCAATGTTGCGAGTTGAATTAGCAGTCCACTAAGTTTCATGTCTGTTTTACATAGATGCATGAAGCTACAAAAATTTGGACTTCAATCACTACTAAATAACCTATGGTTCCCTTCTGCAGGCAATTCGGAAACATAAATTTGTACCTATCCTTGATGAACCTGGAACTGCAGATCTCAGTGCTTATGTTGATTTTGAAGCAATTCGCCACTCTGCTGGGGAGGCCTCAGGTAGATAAAAATTCTTTCTTATTATATACTTCTCCCTTGCTGCCTCTTATTTGTGTCGATAACTGGTTTGGGTGTACCTGTCAGATATTTTCTTGTTCTTTCTTATAGGGTACCGGATGCTAGGTTAAGATAACTGACAAAATTAAGCTAAAAGTTCTGTACAATAACTTCTTGTTTTTTTATTTTTTATTTATTTATTTATTTATTTATTATTATTATTAATTTTTTTTTTTCAGATAACGTTTCTGTTTACGGTCCCATTACCCAGTCACAGTTTTTGGGCTCTCTTGGTATAAATTTCAGAGTTGAAACTTTGATACAGAACTGTGAAACAGATGAGCAGGCAGAGTTGTTACAGGCAGGATATTGGCGTTTGGTGGGTGAAGGAGAAGCCCCATTCTGGGAGGGTCCTGAAGACAAGGTGCCTATTGGTATGGGTACACGATATTTAGCTATGGTTATTGTCAACAAGAATCAAGGCATTCCTATTCCGTTTCAATGAAGCGGAAATGACACACATAGTGAAATAGTATAGAGATCCGAAGTGATTGGACTTTCAAGTAGGCTGCATTATATTTTTTTTCTCCGTGATGCAGATTCAGATAACGAGTTTGATTCAACCAGCATTCATAACTTTATCGTTTTTGAGCCGCCTTTCCTAATTGTACAATTTTATTCATGCAAAACTGAGATCGAAATTGTGAAAAATAAAGGTTGAGAAAATCTTCTAATTGTTCGTTATCAGAACAATGCTGAGTACATTGTTACGTGTCACTTCTACAATTGTGGATGAGGTTCTGTGGAACTTCAAAAATCAAAAGAATGTTAAGTGATTGAATTTGATACAAGGTATGAAAATCATGTATACTACCTTCATTCATTTTTTTTGTTCTATTCAGTTTACATTATCCATTTCTGGCATACAATTTTCATCATACCATGTTGCCTCACTAAGTCACTATACTATACTCCGTACCTTTCCACCCAGTAATGTTTACTACGTACTTAATTTTATACTCAATACAAATATCCTTTGAGTATTCAAATTTATTTTACATTCACCCAGCTTTTTACACTTTTTTTTTGTTTTTAAAATTTTTCTTATATACGTACCTATACTCATCTTTTACATAGTTTATTTTTTATTTATTTTATTTTATTTTTATTTTACAGGAAAATAATTTCATTAATGAAAGATAGTCAAACGACATTTACAAACCACGAGAAATCTAAAATTCAAACTAATGTCATTGTAAATTCAATTAACAATTGTATTTGAATACAGTTATTTCTTAGATAATCTTACCATTAAAACTCCAATTTACTAGCTAAAAGGACAAATTTACCCCTTTGAGATATATTATATGTTTCTCTCTCATGTTGAGAAACTTGTATTTTCTTTTTTTTTTTTGACGGAGGGAAACTTATATTTTCTCGAAAGCAAGGGATATGACTTTTATGGGGGTGATTATGTACTTAAACGACGATATAGTTGAAAACTCTTGTGTTTAGATTAAAAAAGGATTATTTGTCGTAATCGCTTATGTACTTACACTAAATAAAGTGATATAAAAAGAATCGATTAAAATAACATAGATGGTACGACTTTCGGAACATGCTCTAAAACTGTTTATAAACCTTCCACTACATCTTTTGGAGAGCATCAACTAACCAAAGTGTATAGAGAGAGAAAGAGTGAAAGTGACGCGAAACAAACGCTCAAAGCTACTGATACAGAGACACAATCAGAATGGGCGCTATACTGTCATCGCTTTTCGGCGCCGGCGAGGTGGCTGCGGCGGAGTCTACGCTCGAGGATTCATCAGAATCCCGCGTTATGTCTTTCCACTCTACCAACCGATGGCAGCTTCACTACAATTCACTTAAAGATTCCGATAAATTGGTTCGATGATTTCTAATCCTATTTATCTTTGATTTTTTCTTTTTAAATTTTGTTGATGGAAATTTTTTGATCGGTGATTTGGAAAATGAAAATTCAGTTGGTTGTGGATTTTGCGGCGTCTTGGTGTGGGCCGTGCAAGTTTATTGAGCCGGCGGTGAAGGCCATTGCTAATAAGTATCCTGATGTTGAATTTGCCAAAATCGATGTTGATGAATTGCCGGTAATTCTCTCCGATATGCTTTATTTTGATGAATTTGTTTTATTAATTATGATTTTGTGTGATTTTATTATTTGTAAAGTGTTTCAGTGTTGTGATTATGAGTTAATTGCTGACTGATAATAAATTGTTGTGTACTGTATAAGTATAACAGTGCGGATTGTATTAGCTTTTAGTAGTCGTTTGATGTTAGGGGTAATAAAACAAGAGAATTGTGAACTTGGCTCGGTGTTATGGTAATGAAACAAGAGAATTGTGAGCCTGGTTAGGTGTTATGGTAATGATACAAGGAGTTGTAACGGACTAAATCAGAGGCGAAGATAGAGGGGGCTGGTGCGAAGATAGATGGGGCTGGTGCGAAGATAGATGGGGCTGGTGCGAAGATAGATGGGGCTGGTGGAGGTCTGGCCTCCAAGGCCCAGCTCCATGTTAATTTAGTTATACTGTTTATAATTCTCAAGGTTTCTAGGTATCAGTGTCTGCTTACTTTGACTATTTGTGCATCATGCTCATTTTTGTTTTTGATCATGCTGTAAAGTATTGAAAATGGTGTCGGGGTGGCTGTTATGACCAGCTTGCACCGAAAAGATGATGTCTTATGACTGGCTGAATTATATTATGGTCTGCTTATGGATATGGATATGGATATCAATATAAATATATACATGAACTAAATATAGCTCATGGCATCAGATGTAGTGATTAGAATATACCCTAGATAAATTTTAATGGGTATTGATGTTTATGTAGATTGAATTTTATAATTTAACGTGAATGGGTATTGATGTATTCATCTGTCATTTTGAAGTAGAGTTGATAGTCTGGAATTCTGGATATATGCCCGGTTAGGGAGTAGGAACTAGAGTTATGTACTGTATTTCCAGTAATAATCCCTTGTTGTGTTTACCTCTGTATTTGAATAGACTAGAAGATTGGAATTAAAAAGGTTTAAAAGAATTATTATGAAGTAATAAACAGTTTTTTTGTGTTTCCTTCCGACTTATGTTTTCCTGTCATTTCTATAGAATCACCATTAAAGGATATAGGATGCCACTGATTGAGATATGTTGAAGTAAAAAGAAAGGATTTGGTTTAAATAGTTTGAAGTTGCATTGCAAGTCATTCAAGTGATATCTAGGGGTACCTAGGTTTGCCTAATAAGTCCTGAAAAGAAACTGCTACGTGATTAAATTTTTTTTTGGGAAATTTGTTATCTATTATGAAGCTGAGATTGGGTGAGACTTGAGGATAAATTTTCTCATCAAAACAGACTATGAATCTAGGGGTTTACTGATATATTAGCACTGGACTGTTGAGTGTTGAGTTTAAAGAGGTCTCCATATTGGACGAAATTGTTATTATTTGAGGAGGTTCTGCTGTTATGATGGTTTATTGGTAACCTTAGAATAATCCATGGTGGCTGAAATATATTGAGTTTGAACCTCAAGGTCATGAGAAAATTTGTCCACGAATAATTACAAAGATATATGGTTGGTCTATCGTCCATGCAAAATTTAGTATATAGTTTATTTGATTCTGGCCTTTCCCCAAGGTTTAATCTGAAGCAAGTTATTGAATTTGTATTGCTTGGAACCTTCTTTGTAGCATGAATGTTATATGGGATGCCTTAACTACATGGACTAAGGTTCAACGACTGTAAAGTTGGGAGAGTAGGCATGCATCCCTTTTATAAAAGATAAAAACCTTAAGTAATGAAATTTATATCACGACCAAGACCATATTGGAAGAGACCATATAATACATTAAATGAAGTGCTGAATCAACCAATTACTTCAATTTAGGAATGCACCTATTATAGCCATTTGTACCACATCCTTTCTGCAGCAATAACGTGGGTGTAAGGGATGCTTTAATTATGAAGCCAACATAGGTTCATTTTCTGTAATTCTGGGAGAGTAAGCATACTGGGAACTCGACTGTTTAGTACATTAACTGAAGTGTATAATTAACTATTTGAATTAAGAATGCACCAACACAAAAGTCATCGTGTCTTTTAAACTATATTGGTTATCCAAGGGATATAAAAGAACATTCCTTGTATTCACAGGATGTGTGGAAATTTTTTGTTAGAATTTTGTTGCTTGCAGCCGTTGCAGGCAAATCTGACTTGACTTCAGGCATATCTTTATTTATATTTTTGCTGCTTTTGATTTAGAAAGAATGCTGTTCCTTTCTATACTCTGTATTATTGTTATTTCTACAATCTTGAGGTACTAAAGGAGCCGTTTTTCTTTCACGTATAAAAATGTAGGCTAGTTTAACAGCCAGGCAAGTGCAAGGAACAGTATAGGTATTGTGAAACTTAAATTTCTATGTGTTGCGAGTTGTTGGTGCTTGTATACACAGTTAACCAATCACATTTTCTTTTTGTATACCCATTTGAAAGAGTCCACAATGATCGGTTATGGTTCTATAATTTAAATTAATGATTAAAATCCATAATAGGCTGTTCGAATATTTAGCACCAAAACTTGCCATTTTGTGAATACATGGTGCAGCCGCCTTTTTCCTAGGCCTCAAACAAAGAACAATCATTTGTTGCTTGAAAATAGAAAACAAAAAAATTTTGACCCTCTTTACTACCTGTTATAAAATCTGTATGTGAATTCTTTCTGTCGACATTTATTAGTCAGTATTCCTTTCCTAGTACTTTTATCCCTCGGAAATCTTTTTAGCATATACTTCCTCTGTTCTTTTTTACTTGACCTGCTTTGATTTTTACACTATTCACCACCCTTCCTTTGACTGTTTTTATTCATGTGTGATCTGTTTACAATCGTCTCAATTAGTATTATCATAATATATAACTTTTATAATATGTATTTATGGAGAATTAAAGTTATTGATGGTTAAAGTTCTGCATTGTCAAACGTGATAAATGAAATGTGCTCAGTTTGTATATCTTTCTCACTTGGTAGAAAAGTAGCCATAGGAAATGGCAAAGTGCTATGTAGTGCGTTGGTTTCAAGTATCTTGTCTGCACTCTTTATTTTGAAACGTTAATCGACAAATATGCTTTTCTAAATATTGCCCTATTACATAAATCATCTAAATTTATTTTGGATCATGCTTGAACTTTCTTCCCTATTTCGCTCTCACCCTTTTCCTATCCCCTTCATTTTGGACTTCCTTACCTGATTAAGATATTTGGTCAGACCTAAATGCTTTTCTTTTTTGCATTGTATATTCATGATATTGTTTCTCTATTGTGGTGATGGCAACTTATATTCTTCTGAGTTCCTGTTTCTGCATTCTGGTTTATCACTAAGTATTAAGTAGAACCCCTTGCGTCCAGAATTAGTTGTCAAATCATCTCAACCCCTCAAAATTTGGATGCAACATTGCTTTACGATATGTATTTTTACAGTTGGTCTGTTTCTATTCATTTTAACTTAGTCAAAGTAGTGCATATTGGAAAATCTAATTATATGACCTGTTACAAGGACAATTGATAAACTTTCTAATTTTGGACAGGGGTTTTATTTTATGTTATCACTTGTGAAGGAAAATTTGGGGAAAAATAAATTAATATACTGTTTTGAGAAATGAATTAAACTGATGTTATGAACTTAGAAAAGAAATTTTCACCATAGAACAAAAAAGAAATGAAGCAATATCTTATAAATTCAGGAGTATCACCATCAATTCTTGACTTGGTAATGCATAGAGTGTACTAGTCTATGATTTAGCACAATTGTAGACCTTTTACATATTGCTAAATTTGGAACTGTATCCTGGAGGGATTCATGGCCATTCTAATTGTGAAGATTTATTTGGACTAAAGATTGGCAAACCATCAATGTACTTTGTTTTATGTTTTATATTGAAATTGTTTAAAATGGTACTGAAAGCCAATTTTTCCTCTATAGGATGTGGCCAAGGAATTCGAGGTGCAAGCAATGCCAACATTCATCTTTCTTAAAAAAGGAAAGGTGGTGGACAAGGTGGTTGGTGCCAAAAAGGATGAACTTGAGCATAAGATTGCAAAGTGTGTGTCCTCGTAATTAATGATCTAGTAACTGGCATTTGGTGCTGCCCTGAGGCATATGTACTTGGGAGATTGCTAAAATTGTTTTCTCCAGTATGATGTTCTTACTGTTATGCGCATATTGTCAATATGTTTACATCCTTTGATACACCAGCACGTTATTGATTATGCAACTGTTGTCCGTACGTTTGAAATGTTATTGAGTATGCCCTTTCTCTTGAAATTCTGTCCATATGTTTGTTCATTTTTTATGTTCTTGCGTCATTCAGCTGGTTGATTCAATTCTAGGTATCGCATCTTTTCTTCGTGCGCATTTTATTGGATGATATATTTGCATTCATGGAGCCAGCGAGACATAGTTGTTTTGGGTTGATGATCGCATGCCTTTGTTTGTGTGTGTGTTGGGGGGGTGGGTGGGCTGGCTCTAATTGTCCGTGCATTTGTGAACTCCCCAAGGTGTCCGTTGAATTCTTTATTTTCTAACTTGACCTATAATTTGGATGTATAATGCACCAAATTGAAATATTAAACCTTGGGATCACATATGACATTTATATCTAGTCACCCAGAAACCCAACTTTGTTAGAATTGTATGATATATCTTTTAATCACATGAACCTGAAATCCACACAGTACACAATATTTTATAGAGTTGTCTGTGCTTGCTTATTAATTTACCTTCTCAGGGAAAAAAAAATCTACTTCGTATTTAACCTAAATTTGGTACATGTAATTAGTATTGTTCATTTATTTTTGTAACTGCTAATATAAGATGGCTATTCTACATTTCTTCTGTAAGAGGACTTTCAAATTGAGAGGCAGATAGACAAAGGCCATCGGTCCAATTGTGTTGCATATTAGCATTTGTAACCCCCCTCAAACAAAATTCAATTAATCGCAACAGCCCGGCATTGGTTTGAAATGTGATAATAATGATAATGATATGATTCCTGAAAGCCACAGTATCACAAAATCCTTTTCAAACTATTCAGACTAATTTACACCAAAATATCACCACTTACCAGCTAATTATATGGCACATAAACTATTTACATTATAGTAGTAAACCAGCATTTGTTACATAATAATTACTAGAATGACGCAAAAAATAGTTATAACCACTGTCCACTGGTCCATTGCCACCAACAGACGCCGTATTCGCCATATTGATCCTTCCACAAAGGCTTTGCAATTTGGCTTTGATTGTTACGCACGTGTATTCTGCTTCTTGTCAATAAACTCAATACCGTAAAGCCACACCAGATTATGTACAAAGAAGGGCAACTGAATCATCCAATTGTTTATACTGTGTATGCCTGCTGAATTGTATCAATATCAAGGCCTTTCAGCTTAATCACCGACTCCACATGTCCTTTCAGAGTATGTAGCTCACGAAGCCTGACACAAATGAGGGAAAAATCATTCACGAATTTTGTACCAAGGCAAAGCAACTCTTTGTTGGAGAAGAGAAAGGTTCAGAGAAAGAGTTTGATACTTTGAACACAAGAATAATTTCTCATGCTAGGAAGGATTTGAGGTGATGATATTGAGGCTTGTTTGGACCCAAGTGACTTAAGAATGGTACTATCTTTGTCACTAAAAATATGCCACAATTGATTTTGGGTCTATTTTAAGGAGTTAAAGTAAATTACAGGAGTCTAGGACAATAGTTATCCTTCAATATTTATAAATATATACATCACCATCAATCTCTTAATATTAGAAAATTCAAAATTTTAACTCACTAAAAAAAAATTGTGGCCTACAAATTTGTTAGACTATCTAGTTTAAGAGGATTGGTAAACATGCAGACTAAAGACAGATACTGGCTTAGAACTTCAGACATACAAGAAAGCCATGCACAACTGCACATATATTCACATAGCAGCACTAACTGGTTGGGGATAGGATTTCTGTAATAGCTCATATTTAAGAAGCGGAAGTAAAGGAATCAGAATTTTCTCCTTTTCTTCATTCTTCCTTTGTTTCTTTCCTTCTTATATTCAGATACAACCCCTTAGAGAAACAATTGTAGAGCAATCACAATGTAGTAGTGTAGCCAACCCCAGACATCTTGGGAGATTTCTGATAAAAGAATAAAAATGTACCTTGCAATTTCAGCTCATCTCTTTGCCTCTTCAGCCATTTGGTTAAGCTCTGAAACACGGCTACAGTCAGTAAACATCTTGGTTTCTGGTGGATGGAGCCCATGGAGTGTCCTTTGAGCATGAGCCCATTTGAGTTCCCTTGCTTCTTTACCAAAGTCCTTTTGTCTTGTGAAGGCAATCTGCAAAATCCAGATTAAGGTTTTCAATCACACCTTTACTTTTTCTATCTTATAGCAATTTTGAGATGGGCTGCAGTCTTACTCTTTGCTCAAGTAGAAGATCCCTAGCCTTCCCGCTGAGAGCATACCTGGGTAGCAAACTTGATAATATCAAGGGGAAAGTAGAAGACAAGGTTGTAAAGCCATATTACACCAGCCCAACCCCATCCAATTCCCTCTATCGCAGCAAAATCCCAATTTGCATACACAGCAATCAGAGTTGCGATCTGTGCACCAGAAAAATAAAATAAATAAATGAATAAATAAACAACAAGAAGAGGAGAGCAACGAGACTCCAAGCTTGTTGCTAAAACAATAAAAGTGGCTCAATTACCAACTGAGCAATAATAAAAGCTGACACTAGCAGCAGGCCAGGGCGCTCAACAAAAGACCAGCTTCTAGACCGAGTGACAAATATAAGGGCATGACTAATGATGCTGACTTGTAGGTATATGGTTGAGGCAAGCTTTCTGTAGTCATCATGAGCTGTTTTTTCAAGCGTTTGACACTCCAAATGTGCGCTGCATAAGCAGAGGGACAAAAAGAATCATGTTAGCTAAAAATATGCTATGGGAGAGGAGGGGTCTAAATTTAGAGTGTAAATTATGTAAGTGGCAAAATAAGAGATGTGGGGACTTTGTGAGATAAAGGATCTTTATTGAGAGAGATAAGCACCATGTTTTTCTTACAAAGAATAATCATGGAAAAAAAAACCAAAAGACGACAAGAATGCTAAATCGAGCCTTAGAAAGGAAAAAATGCTCCCTCACAGATCAAATTACTGAAGATTCTATAAGAAAAGAATAATCATGAATAATATACAGTTCTACATAGCATATACATTGCAAGAAGACTAGGGATATCGTAACTCTTGACCAAAATTGTTAATTAGCAAGCACTAATGCTTTACAAGTGGAACAACCTTTGAAGCCTCTCTTGCATGTACATAGGACAAGGCAAAGATAGCAAACAAAATTTGAAAAGCATATACAATTCCAGTGAAAGTAAAGATAGATTTATATGATCTGATAAAGTCTTACAGGGAAAAAGTCGGTTTTATATGCAGCCCAGAAGAAAGTGACGGTCATCATTGCTAATTAGCTGCCAAGAACAATTCCAGTGGTAAAATATTTCCAACAACTTCCAACTATCTGGCTGGGGGGAAGGTTTCACCCGATCTTTTGATATCATCATGATTGTACCTGAAGATTCCAAAAGGCAAGAACCATATATGTAATATCCTTCAACTTGGTTAATGGTAGCATATACTTTAATATAATAAGACAATCTCTTTAAAATTGAGGCTCAAGAGAGGGGGAAAAAAAGCTGTTTTTTTACTCCAGCCTATTAATTTTCAGCTAAGCATTGTTCTACAAATCCATTCTCCAGCATTGCAAAGTACACAATCAAATGAATCAATAACTGAATAATTATTTTGAAAAAACATTAAGTTGAAAGTTCAATAATTGGTCAATTATCTGTCACCAGAAATATCTGAAGATAGACAAAGAATAATAGTGTGTAAGAGCGGCTAAGCGTAGGAATAAAATATATAGATGAAAGTACTTTAAGTTGGATAATTAGCAGCATAATAATGAACAAATAAAGGCTGAGTTTATCAAACTTTCGGGCAATAATAGACCATGAAAGTACTATAAGCAACCATTAAACACCAATTGCTTTAAACAGATATCCAAAGATGCAACATTATACTCGATAATTGTACGAATAATCATACTCAGTATTTACAGGGATGTTAAATTGCTAATGCTAAACATGAAACTCATGAATAATAAAAATTAACAACGTACAATTACCAACGCATGTCAAGGGAGAACTACTAACCATCATTGAGGGTGGCAATGATCAGCACCATAAAGGGTGGGAAGTCAAACATCCATATGAGAGCCAGTAGCATGAACCCTAACTGGGGAAGGATCCAAAGAGTTTACATAAGAAAAATAGATAAACATGCAGATTATAAAAGCTGATTTAGTACTAGTATCAAAGGAAAATCTATACCAAAGATAAAAAAGCTTACCACTATACGGATGGTAATAGAAACTGCATAGATCTGCAATAAGGAATGGCATGCACTTAGTTAATTGTTGACAGCCAATTTGGCAATCTTACCATACCTTATGGAATAAATGAAGAACCACAATTTTCAATGCAAGCAAGTACAAAAAACAATACAATTAACTATTAAGTTTGGAGCCCAGCTGCGTGTTGCTAGGATCCAATGATGATAAATTGGTTTGACAATTACAACATCGATTAGTTGCTAATTCGTATTACCCCTGATCAATCGTAACCCCTGACTGAACCCTCAAATAACCCTTGATCGAACTCCTTAAGTAACCCCTGACCGAGTAACTCAAGTAACCCACGATCAAGTAACCCCTCGAGTAACCCATAACCGAGTAACTCGAGTAACCCTTGACCGAGTAACCCTGACTGAGTAACCCCTCAAGTAACTCTTGATCAAGTGAACCCCTCGAGTAACCCCTGTCCAAACCCCTGAAGTAATCCCTGACCAACAAGTAACTCGAGTAACCCCTGACTAAATAACTCGGGTAACCTCTAACAAAATAACTCGAGTAACCCCTGCCACACAATGTGGCCTGTTGTACCAAAAAGTTGCTGAATAAAAGTCCTACTATCCAAAGATATATGTTTAAATTAATTTAAATTGCAAATCTTACTCATTAGATGGAAAACCTTTTCAATATCAAGGTTTTTATTTTATTTTATTTTATTTTTTTATACGAAGTATATATATTGTGAAGTATATCAAGATTAATAGAAAAATACGAACTTTATAGGGTTTATTTCGCTACCTTTTAAAAAAATTGAGAAAACTCTTGTTTTCGAGATTTTTTGGAAGTTCCTCAAGA